AAAAAGAGAGGAGATGTAGTCCATCCAAAATGGATTTGTTGATTTGTTCACAGTGTATTAGTCACTAATCGTAGTCACTAAACAGGATTCAAAGTTAATCCATTTAGTCAACTCGAGGCGCGCATACCTGGCTTGTGAACCGGTGGTTCAGAGGCCTGGCCAACTCTCTCTGTTTTGGACGCACACTTAACCTAGTCATTGTTACGTCATGCATGACTTCAATCTAGCATGACGTCAGTAAGTCACCGTGACATCATCATGTCTGAATCGGGTATTGACAATCAGTCATGCATGCATGCCTGCGTGCATGGTCTGATCAGGACGATGGGCTGCCATGCATGCGCAGCTATATAGGACGTCAGGAATTATCCCTAATTTAGCCTTAAGTAAAATGGTCAGGTTCTTGTTCATATTTGTGGTAAAAATTTGTCTATTCGTCGTTTTGTTAAGGAAGGGTTAAGATGCCACTGAGTCTTGAATGACTGGTGCAACGACTTGATATAAACAATGTGTAAGTAGGTGTTCTAATTATTGTCTAAGTTGGGACGAATTATTGTTGTTAAGAATTGGTGTTAAACTTTTGGTAACTTCTTGTTAATTGTGTGATACTCTAAGCTGGAATGACCACCCAAAGTCAATATTGGTGTTAGAATGTCTACTTTGGAGAGTGATAGTAGATGATAACGAAAGGGAGATCTTGTTAAGGCTACGTTAAGAATGCCTTTACTAACCACCGATTAACAAATTTTCGCACCTTAGTGGAGCCAATGGCGCAATTGCAAGTTTTGGAGCGGTTACGGTTGCACCATGAAGGAGGAAGAAAAGCATTCCAAACGGATCTAAACCTTCCAGTGAAAGCTCTCTCATTGTGGAAGCATCTCATCAATACTAAGCTAAGGAGTTACATTACTAGCCAGCTAGTACTTGGTGTATGTATGTGAAGAAGCAATGACAGTGATGAAGAAGAAGATGTCTATTGGGTCTTCTACCAGCAGCGACAGCTCTACGAGTTTGGAAGACAATGACACCAACAAGCTGAAGGGCTGTTTGCTGCGTGCCGAAAGAGAATTGTTTCGCTTCTTCAGTCTGCCTCTTCCAATAGAGCATCAGCAGCAATACGATCGTTACAATAATCATAACAAGTCAAGTCCACCACTGGTCAATGACCAAAATGATGATGAGGACACAAAAAACAAGAAGAAGAAATGGTGGCGTCGCAGCAATAAAGCACACCAACAAGAAGAAGCACCGCCTCCTCCTCCTATCGACTTTGTAGAACAACAACAATACACTCGCGTCAGTCAAACGACACCCAACTATCCGGTACCACCGCATCCTTCCACATGGCCGCAACGTCCCGTCTTTATTCGTGCGTCTCCCGGGACATCGACCCATATTGTGGGAGTCCGTGGTTTGCCCGACGACTTTTGTGAGAAGCATCCCGACTTGGTCCCCGTCAATTCCGGCAGCGAACCTCCCGGACACTGTCTCATTGTCGATTTTGTCTCGAAACACATGGTGGGGTCACTGCTCATTCGAGTGCGGGGAGTGCCGTCTCTGGTACACAACAATACTACTACTACCAATGCCAAAAAGGACTACTTTGGAACGCGACAACGAACCTTTCAGGGAGTCATTCGAGGACGCTTTCGACATTCCCAGCCCGTCTACGACTGTTTGTCGGGACAAACCTTTCGACGACCGGCCGGGAAATTGCCACCCAATTGGATCATCAAAGCCTTTCAAGCTCTGTTGGCACGCTTGGCGCCACAATCCTCGTTGGAACTATTTGGACCCAAACCACGCTCATTGGCACCACTCATTAGCACCACACAAACCATTCTAGTCACGCCACTCAAAAGTAATAATGATACGACAACCACCAACACAACCACAACCAATAAGGAGCAACAAGATCAAGGACTCGTCTGCCACGATGGACAGTTCTTTTACGACAGCATTTACGATGATCACATTAATCATTGCTATGCTTCCAATGACGCTGCCACTATGGAACAAGAATTCCAGGAACCCCATGCCACACACCCACACAGTATGATTCATGAAGCGACACAAGCATTGGCTCCAGACGATATTGTCCCCGTGGCGCCTCCCACAAAAGATGACACCAATAAGAATCGAAAGTTTCGAAAACGATACTTTAACAAATTGCTCAGCAAATCGAAACGAACACAACGGCAGGAAGAGAAAAAGCATGCTCACGACGAACAACACCATGATCATCATCATGACGAGTCGTTTGACTTTTCACATCATCACTTGCCCGAGTTTGCCTTTTCAACCGACAAGGAGTATACCTTTGAATTCTACGAAAACTTGGTCATGTTTGAAAATCCACAAAAAGAATTTGCCATGAATCTACGGCTGCCGCTATTGCGGCATATCCCCATTGCTCCCACCACCGATGGACAACCCATACAAATGATGTGTGCCATAAGAAAACAACAACAACAACAACAACAACAACAACAGCGGCACAACGAAGAGGGTGATGACGAGGAGAGTGTGGCAGGATGGGACGATGAGTTGGAGTACCTGTGGGCCTTTGAGGTATGGCATGAATCACTCTACGAGTACGCCTGCAAGGCACATGGGATACCCGTGGATGGATGAGTAGCCAGTCTTTCTTGCCTGCTTTGTGCAGAGAGGCAAATATGGTAGGAACGATTGAATTCTTGACTGGGGGGTGGTCTATGATAACTGTGTCCTTGGCTCTGCCTCTGTTTCCGCCATTGCGAACGTTGGGTGTGAAAATACATAGTTAAGGATGTGCAGGAGCAGAGGATTCAACTGGAGCAGTTTCCTACAAGTCTTGTATTACATAGGATCTGAGAGGACGTACACGAGCTGAGCCACCAGCTAGCAAAAGCTTGGTAGTAGTAGCTTCCTTGGGAATCAATCCAATCACAAGGGCAGCCTCGCCATCGAATTTATAGAAGTCAGCAGCTCAGGTCTAAGGAACATTCATGTACGGCACCATCGTTCCAGTTGTGCAAGTTGTTGCTGACCATCATTGGTTGGTGCAAGGGCACGAGGTCTAACTAGCTAGCTAGAATGAACCCAGGTTGATGGGCTGCGATGCAGCTGCTGTCCTCACCGCGCCGCCGGAATCTGCTGGCCATGAGATCGCAGCATCTCTGCTCGTTCCAGAGGACGTTCCGTGCAGCTGTAGTCGTGGAGGTGCGTGTTTTTTGAAGAGTTTTCAGAAGATTAACGAACAAGAAACTCTCCAACCAGCAGCTCCTGCCCGTACGGTACCGGTACATGTGCAAGTAGCTACCGCACGGTACACTGGAGTATCTTATTCTATGCATCAAATATCATCACTGGTGGCGATAGTTCCTTGCTCGGAAGACGCCACAGTCTTTTTGCTGCTGGACTTGACAATAGTCGGAATAGTAGGCTGGGATTCAAGTTGCAATGGTGACGAGGAGGAAACCTGGCAGCGCACACCAAGCTTGTAGAGGACCCAACAAGCGTATACGTGTACAGCGTACAAAAGTCCGAGAAGCATCACCATGGAGACTTTCCAAAACCACCCCCACGAACTCGTCGACAGACTTCCGTCTTGAACAAGTATCAAGTAGTACGCAAGGCTGAACATTGTGACCAGTGTCTTGACGAGCAGCGACTGTGCCGCAGAGAAATGAAACCAAAAGGTCTGCCAATTTTGGCACAAGTTGAGACGGAAGAGTAATAAGGCAATGAAAGAAGCCTGATCCACAGTGGCATGTAAACCAAGGAAGACAGTGAAGCGTAGGTAGACAATGTCATGCGTGTCAAAGAAGGAAGATGTAGCGAGCTGGGCCACCAGGATTATGATGAAATGATCCAGCAGTAGTGACAGTGGAGCCTTCTTGCGGTAGATAAGCTCCCAGATATACAGCACAACAATGAGGAGGATTGAAAAAATTAAGCCGTTCAAACGCGCCTCAGTGGTGGTTTCTTGCCATCGGAAGATGATATCCACTGAGGCAAAAAGCTGAGCCATCAAGGCAGCACTAGTGCCAAAGAACTGCATGATATACACAACTACATTGTTCTGTTTGTCAGAGTCAAGGCTCCTGTATGAGTCGCGGAGCGTATGGACAGGACAGTTTTCCAAAAACTTGCTTGCCAAAGTGGAGAGAAGCCAGAAGCCTATGAAGTAATTCAGACACCACCAAGGATATTGAGTTGCGCTGTACAGATTGTAGTTTGTGTAAGCTGCGGATGCCATCTCTGCTTGATCTGACAGCACTCGGGGGATAACGTCGCCTTTGCTGATGATCGTCGCCATCTTTCCATCGTTTGTTATGGTAGACCCATCATTCCAATTTTGTTGCTGTGGAATCCCGACAGGGTCAATGACATGTTGACATGTCTCTTGCCTTTTCTGTGGCTGTTGGCTCACAACTTCGTTGACGACCGCCAATCTTCCAAAAAGCCAACACTACTGAAATACTCTAGCCAGCGTCCACACGTTGCTCACAATGATGGACAACCACAATGACAATGACACTTGAGGACAACCTGAACGAGTTAAAACTCGGTTCTTTTCCACTGTAAACATCTCTTTATATATAGGGTTTTATTGAAGGTCTATCATCAAAACTGGCATTGGGATTTTGATTAGACATCAAACTCATCATCGTCACTGAAATCATCCATGGAATCCTCCGCGGTGTCCCCACCGAGCGACGTAAAGCCACTGCTTGCTGCAGTCATGACACCACTCTTCCTGCCTTCCAAGTCCTTTCCAGAAAAGTCGCCCATATCAACAGGAACATCATACTCTAGAGGCTCATCTTCAAGGTCGACATCTGAAAACTCTTGTGTTTCCTTTGAAGGGGGGACAGTCTCGGAGACAGAACTGTGAGAGCAGCGCTTTCCTAGCTTGTAGAGGATCAAGCAAGCAAACACTTGAGCACCATACAGACAAGCCAGAAGAAACATGAAAAAGATGGTCCAAAACACCCCCCAGTTGCCATTCCAAATGGACAACCGCTCCTCAATGACAAGCTGGACAAAGTAGATGCCACCTGCAACAGTGACAGCAGTCTTGCACAACAGGGACTGGGCAGCAGAAAAATAGAACCAAAAAGCTTGCCACCTTTGACAGATGTTGAGGCGGAAGAGGAAGAGTGCTAGGAAGGTGAGCTGCTCAACAGTGGCATGGAAGCCCAACAAGGTGGCAAATCGAATGTAAAGGATGTCATGGGTGTCATAGAAGGAGGCCGAGGAAAGCTGGATAAGAAGGATCGTGACAAGGTGGTGAACCAAAAGAGGGAGTCCAATCTTCTTCCTAAAGATAAGCTCCCAGATGTACAACACTGCAACAAGAATGATTGCAAGGTTCAAGCTCTCCATACGGGCTGCCGAGGTGGTTTCTTGCCACTGAAAGATGAGATCCACAGAACCATAAAGCTGGGCTGCCAGCGCCACACTGGTTCCAAGGAATTGCATGATGTAGATGATGACATTGTTTTGCTTGTCAGAGTCAAGCTTCTTGAAGGAGGTACGGAGGTTTTTGTTTGGGAAGCGATGCAGAAGTGTGCTGGCTAGATTGGAGACAAGCCAGAAGGCCAAGAAGAAGTTGAGACACCACCAAGGATACTGAATGGCACTGTAGAGGTCATAGGGGACAAAATGAGCATTGGTTTGGGCCTGAGCATTTGTTTCTGTAAGAGAAAGCAATGCGCTGGTATCATTGCCAATCATAGTGGCGCCGTTGATGGGATCGTTTTGGGGCAACATGGTGGAACGAGATGCTGGAGTTGGTGCTGTCGGATTGTGCTTGCCTTGTTGGCTTTTCGATAGTTGGAATTGTGAGAATGATCATCAATGAATGCTCTCGTCTCCGACGTGTGTTTACTCTCTCCTTTACGTCTTGTTGCCTCAACCCGAGCCAAACTCTACAGGAAGCTCTGTACCTACCAGTACCTATCCTTAAACGCTACGTATGTACCGTACGACTGTACCTTCGCGACTAAAAATCAACTATTAATAAGCGCTGCGGAGCAAGCGCTGCGGGCGGAAATCTTGCGTGCCAGTTTGCAGAAATGACTGGTACAAGATATTCCCCTTTAATTAGGAAGCTTTACAGGTGATATTGTGGTGAATGAATCCAACTGTAGCTACTACTAGACTACTAGCCGATTCGATTGCGATGCTCGAGAGAGCCTTTTTCTACTACCAGATACTGGTACAATCGTACATCTTACATAGCCTCAGCAGAGCACAACCGACAGCTCTCGTGAGATCGCAACCAATTATTATTTATTTGGCAATCAGTCAAGTTTTTCTCTCGTTCATCCAAGAGTCTTTCTGTCATCAACTCAACAAATGACCACAAATGACCCATTTCTTCAAAGGGGCATGATGCAACCTAACTAAAACATTAATGCAGCTGGTTTTGCCACGCTTGCATTCAGAGACTGGCACGCACCGTCTAACCGAATATGCGGTCATTGGCGGTTGGCTTTGGGCTCGGAGTCGTCAATAAATTACTAGTACTTTAATCGTGCTTGACTTCTACTAAAAGACGATTTAGGGGAAGATAATGTGTCATTGACTCCAGTTCCGTCAGGATTTAAAAGCCAATTATCCCAAAGACGACAAATAAATCCTTTACTTTTAAAAATGAGCTTCTTCAAACTCGAGTACGGCATATGGCACAGGGCACAGTATGTAGGACTTTTAACAAAAGCCAAAGCACGGCTGCTGACTAAACTGTTTTCGATTGTACTATTTACGATGTTCAATGCAGAGGGGAGAGACAGGCATACTGGCATTAGCCACCAACTGGCAGACACCAGGAGCCATACACCGGTACTGGTGCCTCTGTCGGTACAGCGGTTCGACGAGATGAAGTATCTTTTCACAGGGATTCGCATGAATACAGGAATACAGGAATACATGCATTATGACTGCTGTGGGAGTGTTTTGCCCTCGACCTCGAGCAATTCAAGAGGATGGCCAAGCTTCGGTACCGCCCTGCCGGTATAGCTGAAGCAGATCACATCCACGTGGTTCGTTTTCTTATCAACCGAGATCTTGAATTTCCTGCTCTACTAAGACTGATCCTCCTCTTATGCATACCGGTATGGTCAGTCCACACCAACAAAAACCACCTGGCGGTATGGTAGGCACCCGACGAAGGTCACAAACGCCTTCAAGTTTTTGGGAATCATGATTTGGCTCGCTGCAATCTGGGTGGTGGCCACGGTACCGCGGTACAGTGTTGCATTGCCCTCGTGCACGAAGGCATCGCTCAGAATCTGCATCTGGCTTGAGTTCCAATCCGATACTCCGAGTACCAAGCAAATGCCAGATCACGGTGACCGGAAAGGCAATGCTGGGTGGTTGAAAAGATTTTAGCAAAGATAGATGTGTATACCAGTATGCCTCGCTACTATTCCGACATTCTCTCTGCAGAATGTGAGCAGCCATTGCACTCTGCCTCATGAAATCAAAGCCGGTCTCCCGAAACCTGAAACCCCGGACCCACAAAACAGATTGAATTCATCAAGCATGACAGCAAATTTGCAGGAATCTTTTGACAAAGCCGTCGAGCTTGCTAGTTCCCCCGAAGGTGGAAAATGGCCAATGAGCAATGAACAGAAGTTGACAATGTATGGATGCTACAAACAAATCAATGTGGGAGACTGTACAGGAAGCCGACCTTCCATGTTCAATCCAGTTGCACAAAAGAAATTTGACGCCTGGAATGCCATCAAGGGAACGAGTAAAGACGAAGCCATGATGAAATACGTTGCCATCGTTGAAACGTTTGCTCCAGATGAATTGTAATGGTTGTCCTTTGTTGCAAATGGACGCTGAAGACGTTGCTTGCAGCTGCAATCCGGAGGTGAAAAGGCTGTTGGACATCTTGGTGGGCACTAAAGATAGCCAGCTGCCAGCGCCAACACGGGGTACACGAATCCATGATACTAGCACACCGTGATTGGCCTACCGTACGAACAAAATCTCAGCATAATTCATTACTAAATTTTCAAATTTTCTGGTCATTCTTGGGTCCAGCTGGTAGGAGCAAAGTGTCGTTGTGGCAACTGGTGATTTAACACCAGATGAACTTCTCCTTCACTTCGATTTTGTGGACACGTGTGCCATATAGGACTGGATTGGTCGCGGGAAGCTCGAGAAGGCCAGCTACAGCACACGCAACCACTTGCGGTACATCGTAGCACCGATACCGGTACCAGTACGAATTCATTCCCTTTGCAAAGCCGTCAAGAAGATCCGATTCCACACCTGGCTGCGGCCCGTAGAGTAGCTGTAGTGTTGCAGCGTAGCAAGACGGCAAAAATTTTGGCACCTCGAAAACTGCACCGCTTCACCAGAGATCATTCTCGTGGGCGTCATCGTGTGCTGCTCATCCACTCAAACCAAGCTTGTGTCGTTGGTACGTGCAGTGCCCGACTTCGCACCAACCGTCCCATGATCAGGAAAGCAAGTGCATCATGACGCTTGAAAATGCTCGCGTTGATCAGGGTTTTTCCCGCCCGGTCTTTCGTTGACGCATCCCCAAGAATCCTTTAATTTCTGGCGCCGTTACCGTTTGAGAATGGTTGGGATAGTTCGCCACTTCCCTGGGCAGCATGCCGTCTGGATGATGATTTCATGTAGCGGCTGCTGTTGGCTCCAGAGCTATCCGCCCAATTCGGCGGAGTATTGCTGCTGTTGTTGCTCGACTGGTGTCGATGACTGTTGATTTGTCTTTGACTGCGAACCTCTCGGACTTGCATCATGCTCTGCTGGATGCTGTTTGCAAAAGTATCTGGTCGTTCCATGAACCCTTCTTCCACACCAATCTTGGGAAGAAACATGGGCAGCAGCACTGCAAAGGCACTAATGGCAAACATCCAGCTTCCCACGACCATGAGCATTGCCGGATCTTGCGTCCCCGAGACCAGCAATAGTGGAATGCCCAACAGCATGACTTCCAGCATCAAAAAGCTCGCAATGGCCAAATGGTATCGTTCATTGTATTGGCTCGGGAGACGTCGGGCTCGATAGGCTTGCACAGCCGCTACCAAGATGACCAGGACGTTAATGGCCACCACGAGCAACAAGAACACACGAGCCAGAATCTGATCTTGCATATGAAAGCAAGTGCCATAACTGTCCACGGTTCGCTCAAAATAATCGCGCGACACGACGATCCTCTGCCACCGGAGTGGATCCAGGACCGTCCATAACGTCAAGAGGACCACATTGAGAGCAATCAATACCAACGGCACCCATACGACATCTCGAACAAAGACAGTGCTCCGTCGAAAGGAACTGGCCCGCGAAAATAAGGACCGCACTCTCCACGTTCGTGCAAAGAGACTGGCAAAGGTGGTGCTGAATCCAATGGAAAGCATCCACATATTCAACATGCACCCGCGGTCCAATTGTTCTCGTGACATGGGTTCCTGAAACGTCCATGGAATAATGGCACCTCCGATCAGAAATGTTCCGACGCACATCATGACCATGAAGACGGGTTGACTGGCACGAAGACCGGGTCGATCTTGTCGGTAGAGCGTCCAGAGGGCACAGAACGTGGACGTAATCAGTACCGCCGCCGCAATGGCCCAACAAAATGCTTGCAATCCGCGCGATACCAAATTCTGATTGGGCGTCAGTGGAATCAACGGAGGTGGCTGATTTGTGGTGTTGTCACTCCAAATCATGGGTTGGACTACCTCCAGGACTCCCTCGTGTTGACTCAAAATGACACTGTTCGTTTCGTACGTAAAAGCGGCAGTTTTGAGAGTGTTGTTGGCATCCACGACAATTGTAGTACCCATGAGCAGATTGACCAATCGATAATCAATGGGACTGGGATCTCGCGACGCCGTTTCGAGGAATTGAACGGGCCCATCGACTCCTCGAAACGCCAGTTTGGTAATTTCGTGATGCAAATTTTGTGTGGTTGTATTTTTTTGCATGGCCTCCAATTGACAGGCGGCCAATCCGAGGGCCATGGTGGCATCGTATGTGCGTGCGGGGGCGGCGGAAACCCGCGGGAATCTTTCGTCGGCCAGGAAATCTTGTAACGCTTGTGAATTGTTCACGAGAAATCCGGAGACTTGTTGTTGTAAAAAATCCTCTTGTTGGGTGGTATCCTGTTGAAATTGTACCAACAGTGTTTCCAATCGTTCCGCAAAGGGCGATTTCGAAGTAGCCACCGACACGGTCCCGTGCATGGCGCGATGCAACTCCCAATTGTCACTGCTGGCAGTTTCTTCGGTGATATCCCGGACGGACCCCGCAAAGAACCATTCTCGTGGACTGTCGGGTCCCAGTAGATTGTGACGATGTAGTTGGAGTAGTATTTCTCGATATTGTCCTCCCGTCAAAATTCCCAAATGATACGTCGTGGGTATTTCCGCCAATACCGAAATGGCGTTTTGCATACTCGCAATATCACCATCGCGATAACTGGTCACATGAATTTGAATATGGAATTTGCGTGCCGCTTGTGTGACACTCTTGAGATATCCCAATCCATAGTCGTTAGCCACGTGGAGAATGGACAAGTGTTTGACATTTAGTGGCGAATGCAGATACGCCAAGAGAGCGGCCATTCTCCCGACACTGTACGTATGCGTACGGGCAAAGTAGGGATAGGCAAATCGATCTTCCAAGACATCCGATCCCGATGCCGGGGATATGGTAATCACGCCTTGTTGGCTTGTCGTGGGAAAGAACGTCGAGGCGGCCATGGTAGCGACGGATGTCGAAGAGGACGACAAGAGAGGACCCACCGTCGCAAAGGACGTCAAAGAGGACTGTTGTTGTTGTGTTTCACTACTAGTACTAGTACTACTACTACTAGTAGTAGTATCATGAATTCCAAAGTATTCGTCCACAAACTCGCGGGTGGCTTGACTGGCCGAAAATTTGGTATCTCGCATGCGCAGTGTCAAGTACAAGTTGCACTGCTGAAGTGTTTCCAAAGAGGAATCATCGAGCACTACCGATCGTCGATGATTAAAGTCTTGGACGGCCAAGTAGGTCGCCAATGGAAACGCCAGATCGAATGCCTTGTCGTTGCGCGAATGCGGTAACAGCGTCGTAATGCTTCCCACGCGTATAGTAGTAGTAGTATCTCTTAGCTGGATAATGTTGGACCCGGGGAGAAGCTCGTAGTCGCCAGACGCCAACGCGGCTTTCACCAAATCGTCGTAGTACTGTACAGGTCGATCCATCGTCTTTCCTTACTTGTATGTACTAGTATTCTATGGATAGATAGATAGATAGATAGATAGATAGATTGGTTGTTGTTGATTGTTGTGGAAGAGAGAAGACTAAAGGGTCCGAGATGGCGGAACGCTTTCAACTATCAAGAGTTGCGGTTCGCTCGAAACACAGACGCTTTTGGGTCTTGGGGTAAAATAGAAACATAAAAAAACAAATAACTCTCCTAACTCCCACTCACAAGACACTTTCGGTCACAGCAGGAAGCATCGCAGAGACAACTCTGACGACACCCTCCTAATACTTTCAATGCCAATTATGACCAACACTTTAAGTCTATAAAACATCGGAGCATGAACTATTTAATGAGTGTCACTCAGCAGAAGGCTGCTTCTCATTCATCCCGCAGTTTACTGCAGTCACTTCTGAACCGGTGACAACACTTACAGTACGACTGTACTCCGGAGTACTGTACGACTGTACCACCTTCTGTACTGGCTGCGGCACGGTGGTAACGGTACCGTGTACCGTACTTGACCAAGAAAGTGGTTACCGGTACAGTACAGTCGTACGCTGTAGTCAAACGGCGTCGGTCCTCGACTCACCAAGCCTCCTGACCTTTCCACGGAGGATATTTTTCTACTTCAGAAAAAATCGTGCTTGTAGTAAGAAAGGGGTTTGGGGTAGGGAGGTAATCTACTACGGAAGCCAGCGAGGGCCAGGCTTCTGCAAAGAAAAGTGGAAATTGAGGAATAGGTTCCTTGGGATCAAGAGAGATAAACTGAGGGCCATTATTACGAGGGCCAAGAAAGGGCTTGGCTTTCACAGAGACATAAATGAGTGGCTTTAAAACAAGGGCAATGGAGATTCGAGTTTCAACGAAGACTACAATTTGAGAGTGTGAGTTGTGAGTTTTGTTTGCATTGACATATAATTTAGCCCAGCGCTGATGAGTCTCACAGAGGAGATGCTATCCAGCTAGCTAAAGCTAGTAGTAGTAGATAGTACTGGTACAGTAGAGTAGTGAATTCACAAGTTGCCGGAGCTCTTCTCAAGAGAAGGAGGTCCGGATCAATCTCTCTTGGGTATGGTACAGTACGCTATGTACGGTAGGTGTTGATTGTGTTGAATGGTCAAAGTGACTTCTTCCCCAGAATGAATAAGCTTCCTGGATCAAAACTCCAGGACGGATCTTGCACAAGCATTGTGTTCTTTCGCGTTGTCGCCACCAAAATGACAAGGTTTTTTGTGTTTAAAGGAAGCTTCTTCAGTTGAAAAAGCATCCTGGATTTGCCACGGAAGTATCTCTCCCAGGCAGGGTTTGATGCCTGCTTGACCACGACGGTGACCAAAAGCTTCCTGGATCGTCGAAGAGGTACGCGGATCAAATAGCAGCAATTGCGTGCGCAGTTTTGCTTTATCCGTTCTGCTGGGTTCGTGAGAAAAAGCAAGGTTTTTTGGATGATGAATATTGATGAATCAACAACTTTTCTCTCACAACCTCACAAACTCACAACTCAAGAACTCCAAACCAAACCAAATCAAACAAACCAAAAGATCTTTCAGAAGCAAACTTTTATAAATCAACACAATGGTTCAAGTCACCGTCACCAAGGAAGCCAAGAATGCCAGTGCCTCTTTCATCTGGAGCAAGCTCGCCGCTTACTCTGACATGTCTTGGCACCCTGGAGTCAAGTCCTCCAAGAACACGGGTAGCATCCCCGATGGAAGTCCCAACATGATTGGGGCCGAGCGTCTCTTGGTCAACTCTTCGGACAAGGAACTCGTCGAAACGGTCACTGCTTGGTCGGATGAGCAGCGCTATTACGCCTGCTCCATCGACAAGGGTGCACCTCCATTTGCCAAGGAAATGACCATTACGTTCCGCGTGCGAGAAGTGGACTCCAAGGTCCTTGTGGACATGATTGTGGATATTGAATTGAAGGTGTTCTTCGCATGCTTGGGGCCTTTGCTGAAAGTGGTACTTGGAAAGAAGCTTGGCGGTTTTGTAGACGGAATTTCGGATTTGAAGGAGTAGACGACGAAATCAGCAACTGTTCGAGCACCCAATGATGATCAATGCGATGAGGCGATCAAAAAGGCATGTCAAAGATGATAAAAGTTAATATGTTAGTGCAGTTCTTCAGGTCGATCTGACTTTTTCAAAAGGGAGGAATAGTCTCCAAGGCGGAACTGTTGCCGTTGCTTGGGATCTTGGTCTCGGTGACGAACTTGTAGGATAGGAGCAACTTTTGTCGAAGTGCCTGGGATCATTTGGTCTCGGATAGAAGCAACTGAATTCACCGAAGCCATCGAGGTCAGTTCCGATTCCTTTCTCGAGCTAACTGGTTGTGCCGCGAGAAGCTATTAGAGGATCCGACGTCGCGTTTCTGTTGGTGTTGACATTTTCCATGTGTGAAGGGTGGGATGCCGTGTACGGTACCAGTAGGTACTCTAGTAGCTAGACCCTGGTCATAGTCGTACTCTACTGTACCGGTACACGTGCCCCAACGAACATACCAGAAAGATGTGCGTGTATACTGTAGTGGGCATTTCGTTACTGCGTTAGCTTCCACTATTCCGTTTTCCAATCCGTCAGGGTTACCGCGCTCATCATACGTTTCCAAGCTTCATGGAACGGTCTCTGTCTTGTCGAACCCACCCGAGCTACCGGTGCCGTAACTCTTAGGTCCTCCAGACGCCTCGCATCCAGGCTGATCGGTACTGTAATGATGCAGGTATGCGGGGAAGCAAGTGTAACGTATCGTTTGCACCGAATATATTGGCTACCATGCTTGTTCCTTCCGCCGTGCAAAGCAACACCCTCAAAGTCTATTAACGGATTCAGATCAGAGAAGCGCAGAAACCTATGGTGTCTAGCTACAGCAGTGATTCGATTGATTCGATCCATCTACGGCACGGCACCGTACGGTAGAGGTGCTGAGGCGAGGCTCGTTTCACTCCACCCTCGTGGGACCGGTGAAGATTTACAAACAAACGGCGGCAGTACAATGCTGGGCATGGGCGACGGCACAGGCGACTCATCAAGAATGGATCAATTTCGAACCAACGAGGATATGTCGAAACAGTCAAAGTATGGTTTCGATACTCGATTACCATACCGTACACTCCGAGAAGAGGTTGGTGTAGCCGGAACATGCAACTAACTTTACAGGTGAGAAGGAATCCAAGCCAGGCTATTCTGGAGCAAGAGTTGATAATCAAGCTATGCTTTTGATATGTGCATTACTGCCGTTTGAGACGCATTTTCCACATGGCACCCTAAGAAGATCCCTACCGTATACAAAAAACACCAGTCACTAACATTAGTAGTGACAGCATGTACAGCAGGAACATCCCGTAACTTCTTGCATGTCAAACCGCATGTGATCCAAAGGATTCATTCTCCCTGAATCAATGGCTTCACATAAGAAGGAAACGTCACCTGTCAGCAAAGTGTTTTGCAAGAACAGGCGCGTCAATGAAGTCAGCTGGGCAAACTCGGTTGGCACAGTTCCAGTGAACGCATTCATGCTCATAGTCAAATAATCAAGCTGGCTGAAGGCTCCAATTTCACTCGGAAGAGTGCCCGTTATGTGGTTGCCCGCGAGTCCCAAATGTGTCATTTTCGTCAGCAACCCTAGCTGTGTGGGAATGGAACCATCATGCACCATGTTATTGAAGGCAAGGCTCTGTAGATTGGAGCATTTGCCAATCTCTGTGCCAATAAAAAATGACATTGCAGTTTGCCTTGAGAAGTCAATCTCCTCCAGTTTGGACAAATTTGTCCAAACAGAAGCAGGGAAGGTTCCTTCCAGATCGTTTCCTGCCCAAGCCATGGCCTTGAGATTCACCAACTCACTTAGGTGCGAAGAAACAGTTCCTGAGAAATGGTTCGTAGCCAAGTTCCAGGTTTCAATGCCCTTCCAGCTTTGGTACAGGGAGTCTGGAACCGTGCCAGTCAGGTCATTGGATGCAACATCAAACTTCTTCATGCTAGTCAGCTCACTGAGTGCTTCTGGCAGTGTCCCTTGCAGGGGGTTACCACCGAGCTGCAAGAAATCCAGAGCTGTCAGGGCACCAAGCTCTAGAGGAATCGTCCCCTGTAGGTTATTCTTCTGCAACTCCAAGTGAGTGATGGACCCATTGGAATCACACAACAGGGATCCGGACCAGTCACATTCTGGGCCATCGGTCAAGAACTCAAAGGAGTCTGTCCAGTCGCTGACGTTGGCTTCTGTGGTGGAATAATACAAGACAGCCAGTACATAGCGCTGGATGATGGTCCGACGCTTGGCTGGCTGATGACGCAGTAATCGCCGACCTGCAGTGTTGCGCAGAGAACTTGAGACATTGGTGGTCGTGATAGAGGAGGAGGAAGTGTTGGAGCTGCTACTGATGTAACCTTGGTCGAGCCAAGGTTGTCTGATTTCTGCCACCTCACTGTCTTCGTGAGCAAGCCACAGACATGCCTGATTCTGGGGTGCTTGAGGATCGTAGAGAGCATCCTCCAACAGCATGGTAGCATTGATAAGCTCCCCATCCACGCCTCGTTTGTTCTTGTAGTTGCGTTCATAGAGCGGCTTCATTTCCTGAAAGACAAACTCTCGCAAAAGAGATAAGCGTGTGTCCGGATCATAGGTGGGGGAAAGTGTTTCTGCCGGCAAATCATCACTGCCATCATCCTTGGACCTTGTCAGTGTCGTGGCAAGGATCAGTACCAGCAAGAGTATGGTAGCAGCACTGCCCCAGAAGATCTTATGTTGCGAATGGCTCTTGGAGCCTTCACCTTCCTGCATTGGCTCTGCCCTTACCGTGATGTCATCCACTCGAACGGCCTCCAAGGTCGTGGCGCCGTCGTCGCTGCCTCCGACAGCGGCACCAGCGGTCATTACAGCTGGCGATGGAGACTCTACTAGATCACGAGAAGAGGAGGTCGTACTGCTGTCTGGGTCACGCCCACTCAGTTCACTGCTGGGTGCGACTGCATAGGCTCCAGGCGATCCAACTGCCCGAGGCGTGTTGCTCGCTGTGTTGCGGACCAATTGCGTGGGTGGCACAACGGGGATCTGGTTACTGCCGCTGCTACTCGTAGTAGCTTGCAAGATACCTGGATGGGTCGTCGGACGGATCTTCTTGTGCTCCTCCTTCTTGCTGCTGGGCAACCGCTTTTCCATACTAGTACAGCAAGCAGTGTCTTCGTCCTTTGCCTTTTGTTCGGTTGCGATCTGCTCGAGAGCGGCAGCAGTGATTCGGTCTATGACGGACTGAACCAACTTGGACTGGTCGATTCCTTCCGTCTCGCTGGAGCCGACATCTTCCTCGTCGGCTGGTTCTTCGGAGAACGGAGAAGTGAGACGCAAGATCTCACGGGCCAGGTCATCAATCGCCTCCTGCTCCTGCTGATGAGTCCTCGCAGTGCCGAGTTGGCTTTCCAGGTCCTTATCGGTCTTCGTGGGGGTATCCTTGGGGCTCATGGTGCTTTGGGCTTTGGCGAAGGTGAAAACTGTGCGAGGACTGAGGTCTGTAAGAAACCAATGAACGAAGGCAAGGAAAGGAAATGAACTGGAAGCGCCCAGGGAGTACTAGTAAGGCGACAGCTGCGAAGATAAAGCCGAAAGCGAGGTTCTCGAATGATGATGATGATACTAAAGCTAGATGGGGCTGTGTCGATTGAGAGACAAAGCTGGGCGTGCAACCAGCCTTCTTCGGTGGTTTGTTGGTGGTTGCTCTGTGTATCTGTCTCTTTTGGTTGTGTGGGTTGTGTTGGTTGTGTGGGTTGTGTCGGTACCTGGTAATATAGTAGCTGTGGGTCGTTTTGCCTTGTGAGCCTCGCCATCGAAGAAAGGAATTAGGACAGGTTAATCCACGAAGCGTAGCAGGGTCATTGAGGCAGAGCTGAGGCAGTAAGGCTGTAAAAGCTCAGCAAATGTCTTCAGAAACTCTTTAAGACTATGATTGTCCAACGGCTGCGTCATTCTAATGGCCTCTTTTAGATTTATTTAATAAGCAGAAACGTATGTCAGGATCTCAAAGTTCCAGGTTCAAAGGATTAACGGTACTGCCCTAATGCCTACTCAGTAATACATACCTACCGGTACTGTACGAAATGTTATAAAAAGTGACTCTCGTCCTAAAGCGACAGAAAGTGACGAGAGTGAGAACCTCAATTGCCTACCGGTATTGCGGGTAATGGTAGTGTACGCTGTACCTTGGATCAGTTGTAGCCGCCACATTTACTGGAAGCAGGTGCAAACTGCCACAATAGGTGCAAACACAGATGTTTGCATCCATGGTGGCGGCTTGTGGGTTATCACAAAGGATAAAAATCAAAATCAGCTAAAGGAAAACCCTACCTAGCTCAACCTTTTATTTTAATCAGCAATATTGACTTTGTGAACCTGATTTTATGAAACAGTTCACTATTTTAATAATAGAACCAGTCCAATGAACCATGAACCACGTTCATGAAAGTTTATTGAAATTTCCAGTGAATGCAGGCAATGTTCTAATCTTTTGCCTCTATCATTTTTTTCAATTTGAAATCCTCCAAAAGAAGGATGCATGAGGTTGTGCAGTTTGAACAAAATTTAACAATGATTCCCGCAACTGTAACGTCAGTTGAAACTGTCATTATTTTGCGTGAACCTTTAGAAACTTACTGGAGCGTACCTCGAAAGGGGAATCCAGGATATAAAGCAGAGTCTCGAAATAGGGCAGAGTTTTGAACTCTGCCGTAATTTTGTGGCAGAGTTTTGAAGCCCTGCCCTAGAATGCCCTAAATTCTAAAGGGCAGGGTTTCACACTTAGGGTAGAGTCTCAAACTTTCAAACTCTGCCCTTTAGAAATCCGATCCTAAATCCTACCCTAAAAAGTCGACGAATGCACGATTGAGGGACGCTCCTGAGTGTCTTGAGAGTTGAGAGAATACACGTGTAGCTTAGTTGTATACTCCTTGAAGGAATTCCCCGACTCCGGGAATTCCTCCACTATTCCTCCAGTGTCGGAAGGAAGCATTAAAGGGAAAGGGAATGGGGGAAAGGAATTAACTGCCACTCACACTAGGGACTCTACGTAGGCTTGTGTACAACAGTACTGATTCATGACTCACAGTCACGCTCATGACTGGTCAGTCAAATTCCTGCTCCTTCGAGGAATTGGGGAATTCCTCCATTCCTTCAATAATTCCCCCTCTCCAAAAAGTACAAGGAATAAGGAATACAGTACCCAACCAGACGTGTAGTACCGTAATCTTTACCACTGAAATGCATGTTTCCTCGAAGTCTTTCAATACGAGCTTGGTAGAGATTCTGTCCCGCAGGACTCATCGTCTCATTGAGTTCTTGAAGCCAAGGGTAAAATAAATATTTTTTATTTATTTAAAGTAGAGTTGTACAAGCTGGCTTCCTGTGTTGCTGCGCGAAGAAGCCAGCCTGTAGAAAACTTTGAGAATTCTCCACTTTCAAAATTAATCGTCGGAGTACTACTGTAGTAACCAGTACTAGTAAGAATTATTGATTATTTATTTTTCTTCCCGTTCCATCCTGCAAGCTGCAAGCTGACAGAGAATTTTTTCGGAATGTGTTCTACTTTTATGTTTCCGCTTCTCCCTGAATGTTTTACCTCATCTTTCTCATTATCGCCAGGCGTAATGCAGTGCGTCACACGGTCCACGTTGTTCCGACGTTCCGACCTGGGCTCGTCACTCAACATTTTGAAGCTTCCGCAATTGTGTTTTGCCGGTAGAATCATAGATCGATCATCATTGTTTCAAGTACAAGTACGTATCGGTATGGCCATACGGTAATCGAGATCCCATTCATGGACGACATTTCTCTCATTCTCTCTTCTTCATTTGCTTGCCACAAAACTCTTCCGTAGGTACCGGTGCTGCTCCATCATGTCATTTTCAGTGCGAGGCCCCCAGAAGATTCGACACTCCCGAATCTCCCACACAATCGCCACCACTTGCATGCTCCTTTCGACGGCTCCGGTTGCCAGTAGTCTTATCAATATTGCCAGCAGTCCAATAATGATGATGACAACAACACCTCGTGGCAAAGCGTTTGCCGATGCACTGCCACCGTTGAAACCCTTTCATCGTCGCGTCTTTTTACTGCGCCATGGTCAAACCGATTGGAACTCGGCGGGAAAGATGCAGGGTGGTGGATTTGACATTCCACTCAACTCCCATGGTCAACAACAAGCCGCGGCCGTCGCCAACGAACTGTCTGGAATTTCCATGGGTGCCGTGGCATCGTCGCATCTCCAACGAGCGCTCCAAACAGCCCATCATATCGATACAACTGCAACAACAACAACAAGTAGTGAGCAGCAGCGCCATTATGTGGATGCGAGACTGGGAGAAATGCGATTTGGAGACTTTGAAGGGACTGTCATTCATGGACCGAATGCCCAACCGGACCATCAGGAACGATTTCGGCAGATGCAACTCGCCATGAAACAGAATGTTCACTTAAAGTGGCCAGGTGCCGACGCGGAATGCACTTGGGATGTCGCTCAACGAGGACAAGCGGCCGTGGACGCCTTGCTGGATCGACAACACGAGCCGTGTTTGGCCGTGGTGGCACATGGACGATTCAACAAAATCCTACTCGCCAAGCTCTTGTGGAACGATCCCAGTCGCTATGTGGAGATTGAACAAGGCAATACATGCATCAATGTCATTGACTACAATGAACAAGAGGAGACGTGGAAGGCTGTACTGTTGAATTATTCCAAACATGCACCTAACGCCAATGCCAAAAAAGAACTGAGGCGACAACAAGAAGAACTACAGAAACTCCAAGAGCAACAGCAACAACCAATGGAGCAGTTGAATGTCACAAGCACTGCCCACTAGACAGCTAGCTGAAAACAGTTAGTTTCATGGACCTTTTTGCAGCCCTATTTATGTTCTCGACATTCAAACCTGTTCGTCACTGCAGTACAGCTTGAACAGCTCTAGCTAGCACAATCCACTTCAACCAATACAACCCATGGAGCTAAACTCTTTCCAAGGTCCAATGAGTGGGTGCACTCGGCAATTGAGCTGCCTGGTGCCACAATAGAAGGGTTCTACTACGAAGAATAAGAACAAGAATCATTGTACGTGCAGCAATGAAATGCCACCAGTGAAGTGGGAGAGGTTACAATTTGTAGCCTTTCTCTTCTAACAAACATGCAGCAGAGAGAGAATCTATTCGGACAAGTCTCTCACGAGATCCTACGAAGACTCTCTTGTAGCCATGCTTTGACAGGAAGGTCATGCCAAGCTCGGGGAGAAAGCCTTCGTGCTGGTCCTTGAAAGTTGAGCCCAGGGCAACAGGGAGTAGTTGCCCAGAGATGTCGCAAAGGCACGGGCTTCATCCATGGACAGAACAACCCCAAGAGTCCGATTTCAAAACTTGGTTGACACTTTAGCTAGCTATTAGCGTAGCGATACCGGTAGTCGAGCGGAGTCAACGCGATAATAGATTATGTAGTAGATAAGATAATGTGTACGGTACTAGTAGCTAAAGCGTAGACAAGGGAAGTGGTTTGCCTAAACGTCCATCTCCTTTTCAAAAGCTGATGCTTCTTGAACCATAGCATCATGTTTCTCCCGAGCTTCCAGTTCGGCAATCATTTCTGCCACAACTTCCTCGCCTTTGGCCTTCCACTCCTCCAGATTGTTCAAGGCGTACGAGAGGTACTCGCCACTGGAGACTCCAAAAACTCCGCACTCTTTCAGTTTCTTGGCCAAGGGCAAGATATAGAACTCAAAGAAACCAATCTCTCCCGCATACCAGAATTCACTGAAAAGAAGATTGAGCAGAACGAGAAAAAGGCAAAGTGAGATCTTCCTGATCAAAGGCAGGGGCGCCTGACCACAGTCAGAACAGTGATCTGGTCATACCTGGGATCCTTCTCTGCACGTCCTGCCTTGTAGGCTAGGTACATCTCCTCGAAGAGCTTCTGTTGGTGGCAAACAAATGCATAGAGTAGAAAGTTAGCGTATCATACTGCAATGGTTCAGCAAAAGAAGGATTGTGCGAGGCTGTTGCTTTCTTACCGCGTTCCACTTGCGGTAAATGTGCCAATGCTGCATCTGAAAGTGACAAACAGAAGGAAGAAATCGAGTGAGTTCCAACAGGTTCATGGAGGGGTGAGGGTGTGCCCTATAGTATGCTGTCTGACAGACTTACCGTGTGCGACACATCGGAAGCTTGAATCAAATGCTCAATCTGTGGAATGTGAAGAGGAAACAACTATGAGCAATATTCAAGAGGCAAAGCTGAGCAAGATCGAACAAAAACGAACTCACAACAATCGTTGCCTTTCGGTTGACGGCATCTCGAGGGTTCTTGTCCGCCTCTGCATCCTCTGAAAAGGCTGTCTTCCAGCGGCCATTTCGTAGTGCCTTCAGATCCTTGTCTGCGATGTCGGTAGCCATAACGGACTTTGGTAAAAGGCAAAGCAACGTATGAGTGTCAATGATGCAGCGTGTTTACATTACATTGATGGCTGGATATGAAGCGCGAGTCTTACATTGACCACCAATCCTCTGAGACGAGACAATTGTTCATCGTTCTGACAGAGAGTTGCAAGAAGGTCAGAGTACTTGGGGTCCATGAGCATACCCCAGGAGAGGTCCAGGGAATTCTATCCACCACGAGAAAAGATATCGATACGTTAGTTGCCGCGTCAAACTTTGCTTGCTATTAAACACACCATCTCGTGTATGACCGGCTGGTTCCACAACTTACCTGCTCAGCTACGCTGCGACCTCCGTAGTATTCTCCCAGCTTCTCGTTCTCCTTCATGAGCTGTGGGTTTGGCACACCTCGATGGTCTGCAAAAACAAGCCTAACATGAGTATCCCTTCCTTCACGAATGGCGGTAGAGACAACGAGTGAACTTACCGACGTCGTGGATCAACGCCGAAAAGGCACAGGCGAACTGTGTAAGCGGATCACTGAAGGGGTCAAGAGGATTCAGTTAGAGAACAGCTGAGGAAACGTGGAACCCACAATAGTATACATGCTTCTTGCACCTACCTGGTGATACCATACGTATGGCTGAAGACAACAGGCAAGAGAAGAATCTTGTGAGCCTCCAGATGACAAATGATAGCAAGCTGGGTGCGGGCCGAAAGGAACCATCACACGACAGAATCCAGGTATCACCAACGAAACACTTACTCATGCATCGACTCGGCCACGTTGTCTTGGGGGCGAGTTTCAATCTCGTCGTGGAACGCCTCGGGAGCCACGATGCGTGACATGAGCTGTTCAAAATGACACAAGAGAGTAAGTACTGGTATAAGAGCAAGGCAGTGCTAAACAGCTGTTTTCACAAACTTCGGTCAAGCTTACTTTCGTCACCGACATGACGACATGACTACACAGATGAGTCGAGTAGGCAGTAGTGGCATTGTCAGTTTCACTGTCATCAAATCATTTCCTGCCATGCCAACTTTTTTAAGCACCGGCTTACCTAGCGTGAGCAAAGGAGTGGAATGCATTCTTGTGGTAAAGTTGAGAAATGGCTGTGACATAGTCTTTGAGTTGATCAACAACCTTGGCATCAAGTTCGATCTCGTAATGGAGATGTTCTTTGCCAGCAGCCTTCTGGTCAAATTCTGGGAGGGTGATGATTTCCGCGACTTCGGAAAGCGGAAGAGACTTGCCTCCAATGTCGCTTGAGTTGAGATTCTTGCCTAGTGTGTTTGGTTTATCGGAAGTTGTGCCCGAGGCTTTTTGTTGGGCAACGATTTGTTTCAGAAACTGCGAGAGCATTTCAACGTTCCAGTCGATCAATCGTTGGTACTCCGCGTCGTAGCCATCGTCGAGCATGTCAGAGGAAGAATGTGACGATTGGCCTCTGGAGCTGTCACCAATTGACGGTCTTCTGTTTGTGCCAATCTTCACCCAGTAAGTTTGCATTTGTCCTTTGCCTTTTGCGATCACTGGTTCATTGCGCTCTACCAACCAATGCCCTTTTCCAGCAACACGAAGCAACTCGGCAGTGTCCTTGGACACGTGTATCCTGCCAGTGGCTCCAGTGTTCTCGATCCTAGCGGTAGTGTTCACTGAAGCAATCATCAGAGTGAAGAGTCTCGTTAGTCCTTGTGTTGATCAACAGCCTTCAGCTTAAGGAACTCTTGTAGAAGAACTTACTGGTATCTCCAAAGAGCTATGTTAAGCAGAAAAGGTCATCATGTTAGACATTGGAGGGGCTACACAGCTAGAATTGAGGCAGGGAATGTCTCACTTGAAAACGAGCATTGTCGCCTGAGTGATGAGGAAGATGTGAAGGTTAGATAAAAGAAGTGCAAGGGAGAATGTGAAGTTACACGGATTACCGGCTTACCCCTCAACACTCCTGCCTAGAAGTTTCAAAGAAAAGCATTTCAATAACATGTGAGCTCATAACATCACAGGCAAATGTGTTCCAGAGTTATGTCATGGAAGGTCCTTACAGTCACTGGCCCACTGTGAAGGCCTACAGTGTACACGGATTTCCAATTCAGCAGTTCCAGGGCTGAAGTTTTAGGAGGAATTAGAGTTGAGAACACCTTTAGTGGGAAAATGGGAGCAATATGGAGTGGAAAACTTACCCTAATGTGCGCTCAAGCCCTCTGGTCAACACTTTCATGCTCTGGATGCAGTCTTGAGCAAACCTGCACATGGAAGAAACATGATCCTTTCTCGGCTCGGGAATCCCAGTAGCAGCTGTGAAATCATGTTAGGGTGAGTTTTACCTGTTCTGTGGGTACTCTGAGTGCTCGACTTATTCCTTGACTTACCAACATAGCAGTCACCCACAGTTTCAACCTAGACTTCATTTGTGAGTGTACAAGAGACGGAGACTCAAGGTAACGCTCAAGCTTTGATTCCATCTCCTTACCTTAAAGATTCGCCTCTGCTTCGCCAGCATGTCAAATTGTGCATACACACCCTCTAAGAGGGTGAACACCTGACTTGGCTCTCTCACACTACTCCATGGTGTGAAACCTATGAAAGTTGAGAGAATGTGAATCTGTCAGAAGAGAACCACATCAAGCAAGTTCTAGCCAGGAAAACAAGTGAGACCTACCTGTAATGTCTGCAAACATCACAGTTGTGTCCAAGAATAGGTCAGCCAGAGGCTTGTCCTGTCCTGAAGCGTCCAGACCCTTCCCATCAGACAGTAGCCTCTTCATCTTGCCTTTGGTGCCCATCTGCTGCTCCAAGACACGGTCTCACATGGACCCTGGAAATAGGGATGTGACAACAGCATTGGACCTTGCAGCATTGGCAACAAGTTTGGCATTCCTGTTGTGGACCAGAATGTCATAGACAATCATAACAAGGGCAATGCAGGTGAATGTGAAAGCCACAATACCTGCAAAGACTGCACAATGAAAGGATGGTAAGTGCATGAGGGTAAAGAACTTAAATCATAACAAGGAAGTACACTGTATGCAATCATATTTCTTACTCTCAGGGGTGTTCCGATCATAGAAACTTTCGAACTCAGAGCTTGGATAGATGTGCATGGAGTACTGGCAGTGTCCAGGAGTGACATCTTTCTTTGGGTGTGTGAGGAGTGAAAGATTGATCTCAGACTTGTAGTCATCATACTTTGCTTCATGCAAGTCACCTTCTCCCATGTAGTAGGCATCCTTCAGAGCAAGAGCAGAGAACAGGGAATGAATGTGTCAACTCTTGTGAATGAATCCATACAGGTATGTATAGTCTGATGCAAGAACAAGCTTACCTGGCCAGCTATCTCATAGGTGTATGTTTGATTGCAAGTACTGGTAATGATGACAACAATGCCAGCAACATTTCCAGGCAACAGATTCCGCAGTGAAAAGTCCCAGGCAAAGCTCGTGGCAAGGAAACCCACAAACTTAGAATATATATCTTGTGGATCTTCATACACAGGGGTCCAAATGAAACAATGGGGATGGTGTGGGCTGGATCCTGTCTTGAGCTTTGAGTGCATGGCTGCGTGTTCTTCCTCTGTGAAGGCAGTGCCAGTTGAGACAGACGTGCGGACCTTAGAGATGATTTGCTCTCCTCTGACAACTTTGATTGCCGTCATCATGTCATTATAGTCGGGGACATTGAGCACGTTCCAGTTGACCGCTCCATACTGAGCTGGAGGTGGTGAGTAGAGCCACATGGGCCAATATTCAGGGTACTCATCATCCGGAATGAAGCCATCAGGGCCCTTCTTGGTCATGTTTGGAACATAGTTGATCTCGTTGAGCCTGTCGAGGTTACCGTACTTGGTCATATGACCAGCATGGGTCCACTCAGTCAAGTGCTCGCCAGCGTATTCAATCCACGCATCACGTCCATCTTTCTCTACGAACGGGAAGAATGCACTCAGCTCAGTCTTGGCTTGGTTTCGCGCCGATCCAAACTGCATTTCGTAGTAAGGATTGGTGTAGTTCCGCCAGGTCTGTCCAGTACGGATGGCATCAACGGCCATGTTTTCACAGACATCACGTTGGGTTGCATGAAGGATTTCCTGAGATTGCAGAGCAGCATCTGCAACAGTTTGGGAAAACTTTTCAAACTGCAACGTTTCGAGCAACGAATCAAGAGGTCATGCAAAGTGAGGAATGGAGACACGTTCGAAGTGAGCTTGGTACATTGCAAATCAAACTGAACTTACCGCCTCGTCGAAGCTCTTCGTCTGCTCCGATTTGAGGAAATGGTAGGTCGTTAGAGTCACAGTAATGGCCGTGGCCAAGAGGACAAGCGCCATGATGAGACGCCACACACGAATGTGGTTGGTCTCCTTCCTCGAGAACTTGTGGACCTCGGCAATCTCATCGCGTTCCTCGCTGACGGATGAAATCCTGGCGCTGCAGACGCTGAGATCGTTGCTCATGAATCCGCTTTCGTCGGGGCGCGTCGCGAAGGTCGTACTTTCGGCTTTGTCTTTTGTCATCGTCTTCGTTGAGTCGAGTCGTTCTGTCAAGAAGGGTTTTCAAAGTAGTAGTACTTCAGATTGTGAGACAAAAGGCAGAGAAGTAGAGAAAATAAAAGTCGATGGATGGAGGCATCTGCTCTAATCTCAAAAGCCGACCTAGCCGCTCTCGCCCTGTACTAGTACGTACACCACCCGTACCGTACCGTAGCCCCAGGTACGGAGTGCTCCTGAGTATTGCTACCGGTACCACCGTACGGTACCGTATGCTAAACTTTGGTCATTGATACCGTGTGGACGTACTACATGTATTTTAAAAGTATGGCTGTTAGTTGGAGGGCTTGATCTTCTTCCAAGCTTCCAAGACATTGGGACCGATTAAGTGAGCATGCAGTCATTGAGGGATGAGCAAAAGTTGCCATAGCCCTGTAGTGTACTCTATTCGATACCGTAACACTGATAGTTAGGGTGGGTCAGCTTCCACACTACTACCAAGAAAGTCCTGTAGGTATGGATACCTGCAGCGGTGCAGTTTGGGCGAAAAGGAATGATCAAATCCAATTTTTGGCTTTTTCTGGTTATTTTTGATTTAATTGGATTGCATTGAATTGGATTGCATTGAATTGAATTGGATTGGATTGCATTGAATTGGTATTTACTATACAAAATACAGTACCTTTCTGGATCTAATTGAATCCAATCTAGTCCAATCCAATGCAATTCAAACCAATCCAATCCAATCTAATTAAACGTATTTGCCGGTAAAAAACCGAATTTTAAGTTTTCAACTGACTTTTCGTTAGTTGAGTCAGTTGATCAATCTACCAGTATTATGTGTCAATGTATCGGTAACTACGGAGGTACTAGCACCACATACCCTACTGCCTAACCAATGCAATCTAGCGCTATGAGGAGGTTTGCTCATCCCCCACGAAAATTTAATAAACCGTGAATACAGGAGTACAGTGAGAGTTAGACTGAGAGTCAGACAGAAGTGTTGACTTTGTCATCTGCTCTTGATTGGAGCATTCTTTCCCTATCTTCTTTTATTATTTAATAGTTTGACAGTCTTTGCACTTTGACCACTGGTAAGCCTTTTAGCTTTTACTAGTATCATTTGTGCTTGGCCACCGCATCAAGGTTCTTGACCAAAAGATGGATTTATGGCGTGCTTGTCCAGTACCAGTAGCTTTCGTTGGACTTAAAACAGTGATTGGGTTCCACCAGACCATTCCAAGAAGACCTCTTTGAAGCTCTTCTCAGCATTCAGCATCTCCTTCAACAGGAACAATGCACGATCATCATCTCTTGTTCATTGTTGCCTCGTACACTCGTTAAAATTGCTGTCGAGCGACTGTCGAGTATCGGTACCCTTACACCATACACCGGTACCATGCTTTCCTCTTCCATCCTCCTCACTTTTCTCTTTGACAGTTGCACCACTGCTATCACAGTCTCTTTGATAGTGGTACAGTTAGTTGCACTAGCTAGCTAACCAGTTTCATCACAGTCTTGACTTGTTGAAGGGCCTCTTGCCTCTTGGAGGAGGACTCGGCAACTCCTGACCATCAAGATGGCTGCTCTGGTAGCCATTAGGAATTAGGAATGGATTGAGCAGTACAAAACCACAAAACGGACCCTCCAGTGGGTACCACCTCACATCCTCACATGGACTACTAGATAGACCACTCCAATTTTTTGGCACACTTACTTCAATCAACAAAGTGAACCATAGCATCATTTCCAGCTTTTGACGTATCTTTACAGTCATTTTGTTTTGATCATTGACCGGAACGGTCCGGAACTCTGGTTTAACAACTGCTCCAGAACGGGAGCACCTACCTCTTCCAGTCATTGCAGCCCACATCCAAGAAGACTTCTTGCTATGCACATTATTGCTCTGTACTCCTCAGTATGTTTGGATGTTCGGTTGGGTTTTCCACAAAAAACAAAACAAAAGAGAAAACAGAAAAGGCAGCGTCTCCATCCCTGAACCCTGCACAATCTCCCTTTCAGAGTTTCTGAAGGAAGAAGGCATGGAGGCATGGATCAAAAAATTGCCCCCCTGAAAGCTAGCTAGACTCTGGCTGGATCTCTGGAGTAAGGGGATGGACGGATGGACCAGTGCAAACTGACCCACCAGCGCACCTTCAATTGTTTCATACTCGATTACCAGCAGTGCGTTACAGAGATGCCGCTCCGGAGCCAGCTAGCACTCTGGTATTAACAATACCAGGTCCTCTTCAGTTAGTTGTACATGTAGCATTCTTCCATCTTCCACAGATTCTTTGATGTGGCCACTGACCACAGTCCAAGTGCACCCGCGTCTACGATTGCCCGGCCAGACTGTATAAGTCGCGACCGGACTTAGAGGAAGATCTCTCCTTGCAGCAATACCATGGAACAATACTACTAGTGGCTGAACAATACAGCTGCATGTATGATACCAGTGCCGCAACGCCCAGCCAAGCCAACATGAACGCAACTACTGAGTATGTTCCTTGCCGTATCATAGCACAGCATTGTTTGATTGTACAGGAAATGATGAAGTCCCACCTGATTCTGGTTGGATTCATTCAAGCATACTGAAAGCCATTAGTCTAGATCTACCCCAAGGCTCCTGGTCTGAAGGATGAGTTATCAAGGAAGCTTACTATATGAATTTAGAGGGAACTATGGGAGAGGATGGATCGATGTCAGAGGACCAGTGCAATAGGCCAGAGCGTGAGCCGTGCAGCCAGGAGAGCAAACCGACCAAAGGAGGAAAGGAATGAACCAGGACAGTCAGAGAAATGAGGGGGGAGGATGCAGGGGACAGACTACCTTAGCTGGCTTCCGTAGATAATCCACCTACTCTACTAGACCCCCGTTGTCGCTAGCTAGGAACTGAGTAGAGTGCAAGAGCCCCACAATCATCCCAACGAGGTGAGCCAAGAGTGAAGGTTGAGTCGAGTTGTCGAGTGAGTGGGATGAGTTAAATGGGAAGCAAATGAGCTAGCAAGGCTGTAAAGAACTGCAAAACCCAACGGCAAATTGGCGGCGAAACAGCTGCGCGATCCAAAAATCGACATCAGCGCCATTTTTTCTTTCCAAAGCATTCTGTTGTTTGTTGTTGTTTGTTGTTTTGTCTCCAGCAAAGTCTACCACGCCAGAGTAGATCCAAATGGACAATAAAAATGGTAGTGTTGAATCCCCTCCCAAACCGTCTACGTTGAAGTTGACGGAAAGATTGTATCAAGCCAAGTATGGCCAAAACCAAAACACACATCATGGTACCACTATCACGAGCACGCGTACCTCTGGAACCAGTCGCCGATGTCGACGAACGGTACGAGATCCCCGAAAGCCACATCGCAACACTGCCAGCAAGGCCAATGATGGTTTATTGTCCATGGAGAATGCCAATCCCAATACTACTACCAGTACTCGTACGAGCCATGATGATGAGATTCCATGGGTAGCTTCCGCCAAATCGTTGCCAGATGTCACATTGACTTCCTCATCCTCGAGCATCGAAACGACTGATTCGAGTTCATTTTCCGAAGAAAACCAGTTGGCGGTAATGTCAACCAAAGCAGTGACTCCATCTCGACCCAGCAATGTCAAGACTGCCTTAGAATCGCCATCTCCGACTCTAAGGAATCCAAATCAACGGAAATCAGTGACAGCAATTCCCATAATGAAACCTATTAATAGTAGGCGACCCAAGAATATGGAGCAGATGGAGATGTCGGACACTACAACTGCGGTTATTACAGACTTGTTTGCAGGTGTCACATTGACTTCCTCATCCTCGAGCATCGAAACGACCGCTTCGAGTTCCTTTTCGGAAGATAACCAGATGACGGTAGTGTCAAACAAAGCAGTGACTCCATCTCGACCCTGCGATGTCAAGACTGAGGTAGAATCACCAGCTCCAACAAAGAGGAATTCACGTCAACTATATTCAGTGGCGGCAACTGCAGTAGTGACACCGAGTCGACCCAAGAATATCAAGCAGGTGGACATGTTGCACGCAACCGCTGCAGTGAATCCTGAAGGACATCGACTCGCATCTCCTCGGAGCGTTACCATCCTGCAGGCATCACCATCCTTTCAGGATCACACTATTGTCTGGCTGATTCGCCACGGGGAATCTCTGGGTCAATTGGCTCCTCGGACGCAACGCCTTACGGATGTCACCTTGTTGGATTGTGGACTGTCCGAACGCGGTCAGCAACAAGCCAGATCCATGCCCACACGCTATCATCTGCCACCAATGGACTATATCCTGACATCTCCGTTGACGAGGGCCTTGCAAACAGCCCTCTTGGGATTTCCTGACAATCGCCATCTGATGGTCCATTACGATTTGTGCGAACTGGGGGCGGCCAACATTCCCGAGAATCAACCCCGACCCCTTGTTCGCGTCTTGAACGAGTTGGACGCTCCTCGTGGCATGCGGATTGACGTCCAATCCGCTCCACACCACACGAAAATCCCCAATGTCTTAAGGCGCCAGTACATTCGACAAGTCTTTCAGTGGCTTGCTGCAAGTACTACTACTACAATGTCAAGTGTGTGCCCACCACCACAACACATTGCCGTCGTGTGTCACTTTCACGTCATTCGTGCCGCACTCGCCGACGAGCAAGGATTCTGTAGTCCACAACTCAAACCTCACAATGCCGCACCTATTCCCTGTGTTTTGACTCCGGAGGGACGATTGATTCCGTGTTAGTTGAAGAAGCCAAGTAGATCTTGCCAATGTTGCTTTCTGAACAAGAATAACGAACAAAGACATACTGCATTTAGTAAACTGATAGAACTGTTTAGATCGTGTCCTGATATCATCTAGCTTGCTAGTAGCTTTCATGATGCATGTGAGTCGAGTCCGGTAAAGTTCTCTCTGATGCCAAACAAAACTGCTTTAGCGAAAGCATTTCGTTTCCAATAGGAGCTTCGACAAAATCAGTCGTAAAGGTTGGTCATTGCTTCCCAAATACGGTACTAGTAGCCTACCGTGCCACCAAAGATCGGATAGACGCTGTTCCATCGTATCCACCGACGCCCTCACTACTATCATGTAGATACACCCAATCCGCACGACAAGGCTCGCACCACCTACGTCGCAACCCAACCCAACAACCAAATGAAAGACCAATGACCGCGGGTAGACAAGTAACCAGCTAGCTAATACACATAAATAAACGCAGCAAACAATTGTGTTGTCTTTTAAAGGTTCAGTTTAGAAGAGTTATTACAATCACAAAGGCTATCACAATGTCAGTCAACACAACCGATCACACGCGTGTTTATTCTCCCTTTTCTTCTGGTTCTGCCCCATCCCCTTCATCTGCTGTGTCGCCTGTTGTTAATGAGAAAAGAAGGAAGGTTAAAAACAAGATTTGAGTAAAAGGGTCATACTGGATCGTGTCATGTCATTGACTGGTTCATACACTCACTGGTCCAGAGAGTCAAGTTATCACGCAACAACTGCATAATGAGTGTGGAATCCTTGTAGCTTTCTTCATTGAGAGTGTCCAATTCAGCAATGGCGTCATCAAAGGCTTGCTTGGCGATTTGACATGCTTTGTCGGGACTGTTGAGGATTTCGTAGTAAAAGACGGAGAAGTTGAGTGCCAGTCCAAGACGAATGGGATGAGTGGGTGGCAAGTCGGACGAGGCAATGCCACTGGCCGCCTGGTAGGCATCCAAGGCCGCTCCAGCACTGTCCTTGCGGGTGTCGCCGGATTGGAACTCGGAAAGATAACGATGGTAGTCACCCTTCATTTTGTAGTAAAAGACCTTGGCTTCTTCGGACGACGAGTTGGGAATGAGCGATTCCTCGATAATGCCCAAAATGTCGTTACAGATATCCACAAGCTCCGTCTCGATCTTGGCCTTGTAGTCCTTGATGATGGTCATCTTCTCGGGGTCTCCCTTTTGCTCAATGGAGGTCACCACACGCCACGAGGCACGACGAGATCCAATCACATTCTTGTAGGCGACGGACAGAAGGTTACGCTCTTCAACAGTCAGTTCTTGAGGTTGCTTGGCAACCTCCTTCATGTCAGCGACCATCTCATCAAAGCGCTCGGCTTGTTCGGCCAACTTGGCCTTGTATACCAGACTATCGCGGTCCATTGTTGTTGTTGTTGATACTGTTAACTTTTGTTATTTGAATGAAGAGGATCCGAGTTTGTGTCTGTTTGTGTTTGCTTGCTCTACCAGTGGGAAGGGCGGGAAAATGACAATGACTGATTGCTGGCTCTTCCCTGGAGAAAAATCCGGAAGGCTTGAGGCGCGGGCGACATCACAACGTTCCATGCAAGACCTTGTCTTGCCTGGATCATAATTTCGGATCGAGAACCCTACAAACAATAAAGGTAGATTTGGTAAATGTTTATTCTCAACTAAATTGTCAGTGTAAATAATACCCTTGACTCTATATTTACCTGAGCTACCTCACCGTACTAAAGCTGAATGACTGAACGAATGATTCGATTCAATCAAATCGAATCAAAGCAGATTTCCGATGTCAAAGCGGAACAGCTGGAACGGTTGTGGAGAACAACTGTGCTTCCGGACAACAATGCCTTCCGTTCTTTGGACGCAATACATGTAATAATGGAACTGTGAACCGGTGCGAGGTCTTTCGCGAACATGCTGTTGGGATATTGCAAGCTGCCATGGATGGAACCGAACAGCTGCATCCATCCCGCTCCCAATATATAGTTGACCATGGCATTGTACGATGTACCAGCTACCTAGCTAAGGTACCGTAGCTGAGATGTCTTTAGCTCCTTTTGGGGCCTCCGGGGGAGCGACCCAGCTCTGGGACCGAGGAACTGTACCATGTGACATAGCAAGTGTTATCCCTTCTACCTTCATAGGTAGGCATTGGCTGGCCGTGGGAACATTGCCGACCGTGGGAATTGACCATCCAGAGCTAGCTGAGCATGTGGTAATCTTATCATCTTCTTTCTACAACTGTGAAAGGCGAATGCCAACTATCATAGCTATTTATGGTTATGAAAACTAGCTACAGTAGATGTCCCCCGTTGGAAAGCTACACTGTTTGATTAGCTGTTTGATTCACCCAGGTGCTGTCTCCTCTTTCCCCAGCATCACAACTGCATTCACAGCCACACAAAAGCTCAGAGCAGTTGAACACCAGTTCCATCGGAGCAACACACACTTCAGAAGGGAGACTCCCAGACAGCCCAGTATCCGTTAGATTTGCCAACAACATGGAACCTTCAGCCATCAAGTCAAAAAGTGCTGCTGGGACACTCCCCTCAAACTCATTGTAGGACAAATCCAGGTCTTCCAGATTCTCGAGCAGACCAATCTCACTTGGAAGAGATCCAGTCAACTGGTTTCGGTCCAACCAAAGAAACTTCAAGCCAGAAGCTTGTCCAATCTCAATGGGCAGGGATCCATTCAAAGAATTTCCAAACAAGTGAAGAAGTTCAACCTTGGAACCAGGACCAAACAATTCACCGGGGATGGCACCACTCAGTCGATTGCTGTCGAAGAACACCCATTCCAAGCTGGTGATCATCCCAATCTCAGTAGGAATGACTCCAGTGATGTTTGTGAGGTAAATCTGTACATCCTCCAGCACAGTCAACATGCCTAATTCTGAAGGCAACGAGCCTATAAGGGGCATTTCACTCAGGTAGAGACGAGTTGTGCTGGTCATCATCCCAATCTCAGTGGGAATGGCCCCAGAAATGTTTGTGGCATACATCCTCAGATCATTCATTTGAGCCATTTGGCCAAACTCTGAAGGGAGGGTACCTGAAAGGTTTGTTTCGTTCAGCCAGAGGCGAGTTGTGCTGGTCATCATCCCAATCTCAGTGGGAATGGCGCCAGAAATGTTTGTGGAATACATAATTAGATCAATCATTTGAGTCATTTGGCCTAGTTCCGAAGGCAAAGAGCCCACCAGGGGCATTTCATTCAGGTAGAGGCGAGTTGTGCTGGTCATCATCCCAATCTCAGTTGGGATCACTCCGGTGATGCCAGTATCATATATCTGGAGGTCAATCATTTGAGTCATTTGGCCAAGCTCTGAAGGAAGGGTACCTGCAAGGTTTGTTTCATCCAGGTAGAGTCGAGTTGTGCTGGTCATCATCCCAATCTCAGTAGGAATGGCCCCAGAAATGTTCGTGGAATACATCATCATATCCCTCATGGCACTCAATTGCCCAAGTTCTGTTGGAAGAGAACCCTCCAGAAGAGTATTGTCACCTGCAGTGGAGGAGGAAGGAAGAGGTGAGGAAAAAGGTGGCTCTGAAGAGAACGGATGACAAAGATTGGAGCAATGCCATTGACTTACAGAACAGCCGCTTCAGGTTGGTCATCAGTCCAATTTCAGTTGGCAGCGTCCCCGAAATCATATTCTCTTCCATCATAATCTCAGCCATTGGGTCAAGCAAACCCTATTTCAAACAAATACATATAGAATGAGGTGACGAGCACAATGATGAGATTCTGTCACCTTGCCCAGCTCTTGGACGCACCATTTCCGATGGGATTGTCCCAGTGATATTGTTGCTCAAGATCCAAAAGGCTCGCATATCCGTGAGTAAACCAATCTCTGTCGGAATCGATCCTTGTAGACCAACATTAATCATGCCCAACAATCTGAAGTCGGGGAGATTGCCAATGCGCGTTGAGATGGTGCTTCTAGCAAGGTCATTGGTGAACAGGGTCACCTGCAGTGGAGAGAAAGGAGGTGAGAATATGATGGACCAGAGATCAAGGAGACTTCAAAAAAGGGTTGCGTTTGCCTTACCGATTTCAGTGATGTCAAGAGATACATCTCCTCAGGCAACGATCCTTGCAAATTGTTTTTGAAGAGCCTCAGGTGTTGATACTTATTTGATGCGTAGCCATCATACTCACAAACGCTTTGCTCGAGGTATTGATCGAAAATTTCTTCTTCCCACAATTCTATTGCAAATTCATCGTAGGCTAACGTCCCCTCGATTTGAGTCAACAAGATATGGAGCGGTACTACTGTTGTATACCAAGAGCATTCGTCCTTGTTGTAATCTAGCCAGTTGGTATTGTTGAACCAGTGTTGGCCCCGTGTAGCATAGTAAAGAGTTGCCAGGGCAAACCGTTGCACTCGGCGCCAATCAGGGTAGTCTGGCAAGCCAGGATCAACGAGAAGCCACTCGTACGCTTTTTCTTGTGGAGTGCCACCTCTCCTGATTTGCCTTTGGGTGTCGTCCGGCAGGAGTTTCAGTATGGATTCTTCCAAGGAAAACGTCGGTGCTTGTGTTGGGGTCATGGTAGAAGGAGGACTAGTGGGTACGTTGGTCTGGTTTTCCACATCCGAGGTCTTTTTGTTGTGGACAAGGACAACCAGCACGATCGTCACTAGCACAAACAATACAATGGCCGCAAGTGCGCATCCAATCAATAGTTTTGAATTCTTCCTGCGTAGATTGGTGGCTGTTCCATCTGTCTCATTCTGTACTTCCCGGGCTTGTTGCATAAAGACACTGCTGCTCCGTGTGGAAACTATGTCGGCTACGACCAAGCGATCCGACTCGATTCGCGACGAGTTTGGTCGTACCGGAGCGGTATGTTGGTTGTTTTCCAGGTCAACCATTGGATTGAGGTCATCATTCGATACACGGCTGTCGCCATGAGAACGACTGTCGCCATGAGACAGTCTCGCAAAAATGGAATATCTCGGTGCCCGAACTGCCACAGGGGCTGTCCCCGGATTTGCCGAATACGCACCAGGGGCAGGCTGTCGTTGCGCTCCTGCAGGTGTCGATTGTGGTGGCAAGGCTTGTAGTCCGCCCATGACCTCGTCCTGGATTGCATCAACGCGGGCTGGAGTCGTCGTTGCGGTTGCTGGTGCTGGTTGTTGTGCCATTTCTTGTCTAGTAGTAGTGCTGTTTCTCACTGCCTGAGCAACACCAAAATTTTCAATGGTCACCGCTGAGGCTTGCCTGACAGCAACAGGAGGGGGCATCTGCACTGTCACCCTTTCTTGTCGAATTTGATCCTTTGTGATATCATCAGCAGCAGCGTTGTCGATGCCAGCAGCAGAGGACTGCCTGGCAGCAATGGGAGGGGGTATTTGGACCATTTCTTGTCGAATTTGATTCTTCACCATTTCATCATGTTCATAATTATTCTGGTTGCCTTGTGACTCTGTCGAGTAACCCGTGGTGCTTGTACTTGAATTTGTTGTTGCTGTGGCATCGATCTCTTCCTGCACCCTTGTTAGTCGAATATACATGTAGTTTTTCGTGACTAGATCACGTTCAGAATTGTTCTGGTTGCCTTGTGAATCTCCGGAGGAACCTGTGGTACTTGTACTTGAATTTGTTGTTGCTGTGGCAGATGTCGTGGCATCATCCCCTTCCTGTACCATTTCTTGTGGAAATCGTTTCCTCGCAATTTCATCATGTTCATGTATGTTCTGGTTGCTATGTGCATCTGCAGAAGCACCAGCTGTGCTTGTTGTGGTCCCTTCCCCCAGTTCTTGCTGGATCCGTTGCTCTTGAAGTAGAGGTCCTTGTGCTGATTGTTCTGCCATTTCGTGTCTTTTTGTGCATGTTTCAGCATGACTATTATCATCATTCTCATCAGTGGTACCAACAAAAGAAGTAGCTGCTGGCAGCTGCCTTGAAGAATCTGGAGGGTGGAATGGCTCCAATTTTTGGCGTGTTTGATGATCGGTGGTTTCTTGTTCATGCTGAAAATTATTTTGGTCCCCAGCAATAGAAGCAGTTGCTGAGGACTGCCTGGAGGAAACTGCAGGAGGTACGAGCACCATTTCTTGACTTATTGGAATGTCAGCCGTTTGATCACATTGAGAAATAATCTGATTGTTCATGGTGTCTTCTTGTGTGGTGGTTTCCCTACCGGCAATATCACTAAGTGGTACTCCCTCAGAGCTCTCTTCCGTCTCGGCACAGAAATCGCTCGCAGATCCCATGTTGTCTTGACCGTTTTTTTCGACTTCTTCCATGGTTTGCTTCCCAACCAGGATACTCCAAAAAGTCCGTCTTTGGATGATGCAGGACCGGTCCACTAGCTAGCTAGTTTAGCTATCAATGGTTGCCTTCGCTAGCTAGCCGTAGTCTCGTTTCTGGTGTCTCTGTGCCACTTCGGAACGATCATGGTGACCAAGTGTTCAAGCAAGAAGGAGCTGCGTCTGCAGGAGTTCAGCGCGTCTGGATGCACTTTTCTCTTCCAGTCGCAGTACGCAGAAATCGAGACTTAACAGCGATTAAAATTAGTATTCTAATCGCGTGAAACCAAAGCATTAATTTTGCTCACATTTTCGGAGCCCTCGAAACAAGGAATGGCCCTTGCAACGGCTGAGTAGTGTCATCGCATTCACCACAACTCGAGATCTTTTTCCCAAACAACCTCTTCAGTAGAGGATCTATAGTCCTTTGCCATTCAATCTTCAAGCTGGTTGGTAGATCCAGTTGCCTCTCTCAAGCTTCTGGGCGGTCACACCTTCGCTGATCACCTTGTTCCAGCAGTACCTTCCTGGCAATTGCGGATGGGGAACGGTGAATACTGTACCACAAGGCCTTCTTTTTTCAGCTGCTAACACATCCTGCAAGTTCACGCAATGGTATCTAGCTAGTCAATGTCTTGTTGGTTGGGTATCCTGGTCGGACAACTTCATCTTCCACCCACTCGCTCGTACCTCCATTGGCCAATTCAAGTTCAAGTCATTTGATGAGCATCACCCACCTCCACTCGAAATCTTCTTCATTCTGCATCCAAAGAACGGAGCAGTCTTTCATCACATAAAGTGTGGTTCCCATTGGGAAGAACGTTGACTCGACTCACTGATCTTGTTCACCAATGTGGAGTTTGTCGCTGCTCTCATCAGTGTCTCAGATCCATCCATGATATCTGACAAACTTGTACACTGTGATGCTCTTACTAATGTAACTGCAAACATCTTTCCTTGCGTGGAATACAATGAACTTGTGGGGTTCATCAGTGGAGAAGCAACTGGCCTTGTGCATTTCCTTGTGCTTGGGATGATCATCTCCATAGAGGATTTCCTCTGTTGCATCCTTGATACGTCAGTCAAGACGTGTTTCTCGACCTCAGAGCAAGACTCCAAGCTTGAGTCTGCAAGTACCGGTTCCGGTACCTGTACATTGGAAGGATGGGATCATGCCTATGAGTAGTCCCCTATGAATACACTCCATTGGTGAAAGGTTTGGTCTTTACCATGTGACTGCCAATGTTCCACGGAGATGTGGCCGATTCGATGCCATAGACGAATCAAAACTGGCGCCATAGACTCGCCATTTCGGGCCAGGTATGCCGATCCACTCAGAATTGTGTGGAATAGGTGATAAACTCATCGTCACTGTCGTCTTCGTCTTCAGCCTTGCTCAAATCCATGTGCTCGGATGGTAGTTCTGGCGCGACCGCCTCGTCCTCTTCATCTTCTTCTCCATACAGTGAGATGCCATCTAGCTCCTCCGACACGTCAATGAGTGACAGTCTACGACTGTGATCCATTGGTGGTGCTCCTGAGACGGAAAACACCTCTGAAGGAACCTCTGCAATTGGAGGCAGTTCCATGTCCTGCATATCATTCTCCTGCTGCTGCTGTTGTTGTGATGGTTGTTGTACAGCTGGCGATTGTTCGACGGATGGACCATTCGGCTCAGTCTTTGTATTGTCGAGTTTTTGCTTTTGTTTCTTGGCAAGTTCCTTTTTGCGTTTCAATCGTTTGGCTTCCCATTTGGGATACATATACACCAGAAAGTTGAAAAATCCTTGCATGGGCGTGAAGGTTGCATGTAGCGCCATGAGCCAAAAGAAGGATTCGCCCCTTGTCAATTGCAGGAGTCGGTTAGTGGTCCCTGCAATCCAGGTAACATAAAATACAGCGACATATCGATATGCCTGTCGAGCAACGATTTTTGATTGTCGGTAGTCTTTTTTCTTGCTGTCGTATTTCTTCTTCCATAGAGTGTGTTTGTAGAGGCTGGTTGCCGCTTTCATGCTGCCTTTAGTGAGGGAATGGACACTATTGGATAGTGCAGATGATATAGAATAGACAGAGGAAGCACGAGAGGAATCACGAGAGGAATCACGAGATAAATGGCCGTCATCTTCGAGTTCTTGTTCTTCTAGTAACTTTTTGGCTTGTGTCAGTTCAAAGTCATATTGACGTGCTTGTTTTTCCGTCTTCCGAACATACTGATAGAGCATGAACATGGCAACCATGGCACCAAGGACAGATGCCCAGAGGGGCCCAAAGTAAAATGCCCATCGAAATATCTCGGCATTGTCGCCTTCCTCACAAGTGGTGTATCCGTGCCGGAAGGTCTGCTTGCAGCCAATGGGGGTAGCATTGACCCAACACCAAAGAGAACTATCATGATACATGTTGAGCCCCAAACAAACCAAGGCCGTTCCAAACCCAAATAGAAACGCAAATGTGTGCATTGAGGGTTCAATGCATTTGTGTATTTGAGCGTCCGTGTAACTGTATTTGACTTTGAGTAGAAAGAACCACATGAGCATAAAGTTGTAGATCGGACTGGCGATGCTGAGCTGCAAGAAGAAACCCTGTGCAGTGCAAGTACCGTCCGTGCCCGAAGCTCCCCAACGAGTGCTCGTGGCGGCAGGGATGGGCCAAGTGGAGAGAGAATGGGACACGGACGTAAATAGATCCAAAATGCACATGGCAAAGAGCAGACGGTGGTACGGCTTGTTCCATTTGCTTCGCTCGTTCAAAACCTCATAGATAACCCAGGAAGAACCGATGATGGACAAAGGACCTGTTACTTTCGGGATAATCGCCAGCACTTTGGCTTGGTTAACCATATCTACACAGTACTGTAGATCTAGTAACACTTGTGTAATAGTAGATACGGTACGAAAGGTAGCATACAGCTAGGCAGAAGCTGGAACCAGCCACATTGGGTGTTCTCGAAGTGGTGCCTAAGCTTCAATTTTTTTTTTACAAAAAAAGGCATGGAGCAAGCGTTGTTATTTGGTCACGACGCTCACCTGACCTATTACGTATTGTTTATTATTACTAGTATTATACTTGTACCGGTATTACAGTGTCCCAAATAGCATAGTTTTGAGTTTTATAAAATGCAGCAAAACGTGAGAATGCGAAAATATTTTACAAAGACAAGCCTCCAGTCAGGGTTCTGGTTGCTGAGCCTGGAGGATGGGCGAAAGAATCTGTGTTAAATCTATTTTTTGAAAAAACTCGTGTTTCAAATTCCTATTAAAATTCGTGTTTCATTTGTGTTTCAAATTCGTGTTATTTCGTGTTAATTCGTGTTAATTCGTATTAATTTTGTATTAATTCGTATTAATTTGTGAACGGTTAGTTAACGGTTCGTTCACGAAAAGGTATTTTCTCTCTTTTTAAGTTTTTGTTTGAAAATATCTCCATTTTGTTTTGAAATTTCTAGTAAATTCACTTTTAAAAAAACATTTTTTCCTGATTCGGGAATAGAACGTGAATTGCTCGGAAATGGCTCGTTTTTGTTCGTTTTAACACGTTTTGAATCGTTTTATTTCGTAACAAAAACCTTTTATTTCGTGAAACATCGTTTTATTTCGTTTTGAATTATATTTCGTGTTAAATTCGTGAAATGTTCGTTTTAGCAAAATTCGTTTCAAGATTTAACACGATTCTTTTTCGTGTCATCATCCCATCCTCCTGTGAGGCAAGCAGATCGATCCGTGTGTGTGAGGTTGCCTCTGTGGTTACTACATGTAGTACTTTTCATCATGATGATCACTCGGACAGCATTATTGTTTCAAGCTACTTTGACGACAAGACCAGCAACCAAATCCAAAAAGAATGCCTCGGACCTCGACCTTAGAAACACAGTCCGGAGCAGCGCAGATGTACACTACCAGCGGACTTCATATAATCAACGAAGACTTGTCCTTGTGCTCCTCTGGTGTTCGACTTCCTCACACATTTCATTTGCAGGAATTGAAGTTCTTGAACACTCGAACAGGATCTGTAAGTGTAGTGTGCCTCACTGTATGTACTGTATGACATGAATACCTTCTGTCTCCGTTTCGCTCATGTTATCACGCTTTTTGGACTTTTGCGACGCACAAAACAGCAAAATCCTAAGACGAAGAAGAAGAAAAGAACGATGACCGATAGCATCGCCTTGATGGCTGCTCGCCGACGCTTGTTGGCCATTCTAGATGAGATCCTAGCTGTGGACGCAAATCTGGACCAAGAAGCCGTGGCACGTTACCTCACCCATAATTCGATTGAACTCATGCAATTGCCTGCAACCCGTGCTGTTTGGCCCCAGGCGCTCCGCGAGAATTTTTCCATTGCGGGCGCAATCAATGTTGACTAGGGGATCTTTCAGCGTGCCATCATGGCGCTCACAACAGAAGATAGAGCTTTGTTTCTCGAGAACCCCTTCAGTATTCCACTCGCAATCAACACGGCGAAACAGGATCGCGTTTCGGACGTTACGGACTTGCGTTCTTCACCTACTGGATTGGCGCAGAACACCGCGGCGGTGGCCGCTATCATGGATGAAGTCAGTGAACAGCCGATGTCCACCCAGAGCGCCCCACCGCCAGGCAATACGGATCCACTCAAGAAGATATGAGGGAGCATCACATAAAGTACGAAAACTCAGCAAAGTCAACTTTGAAAGTACTATTACACAGGGACCTCACAACCAAAAATGACAAAAATCACTTATCAGGAGACGAAGTGGCTCTGTCGAGTGATTGGTGTAACGGGCGACTATGGTTGATTGTTGACTACTAGCTATTCCTTGATAATGCTAAGCTAATGATTGAGGGGGGGAAGCTAGTCAATGGTCTTTCCAAAGTACATACGGACTGACGAGTGCGTGTTGGAAGGTAGGTCCTTGTATAGGGCGTCGTCCTTGATATTGAAGCTTTTCACTAGGGGATGGGAGAGGATGTAGTCGAAGGAAAACTTCTTGGAAGACTTCTTGGAAGACTTCTTGTGTTTCGGCTTGGCTGGGTCAAGACTATCGTATAATGCGGTTTCTGCTGCAGTGGCCATATGAGCTATGTCCCTTTTCCATTTCACAAGCTCATCGGCACTATCAGGCTTTGGATTGGGGTATTCAGAACAGTAGAACAGTAAAAGGCCCTAAACCTTGCAAACGACGGAAGAAAGAGACAAACGAACCGACCTCGACGAATTCAAACAGTCCGTAAAGGAAGGAGTTGTCGACATGGTGCGGCAATCGCAAACTCAACACTAACTCCCCGGGTTAACAACAACACATTAGTTCGATTACATGAAACGGACCGCCTCTCCAATGATCTCGTAGGTGCCAAACAACTTAATCTCCGCCTTACTTCCCCTTTTCTCCACCTCCCTTCCCCTTCAGTGCATTGAGCACCATCAAATCGCGGTGTGCGAACAATTCTGGAGCGTTTTCCTTGCTAATGGTGGCCAGCCACCCGACTTTCCTTTTCTTCGCGTTGGTTTCCACCCTTTCAGATTTCTTCTTCCCAGACCGGTCGACCGGGCTCATGTCAATTTGCCCCACCACTTTCTCCGAGTCGTCCTCAAGAACACCTGGAGTTGCACTACCAGCTCCATTAGCGGGATATTGAACCATTACCTTTCCCTTTCTTTTGATTTTTGCTTAAAGGTCGAACCTCCCTCGATATTTAACGGAATAGGGATGTTTTGTAAGGTCAAAACGTGTTGGATTGAAGTGGAGAAGTCACTTCATGCTGGTTCGTGCTGCTTGAGAAGCAGAGGATTTAACGTTTAGTACCGCATGGCTAAGGTCAAAACATGTTTGGGGCCCTCGTGATAAGAAAGTATCAGAAAAGAGGAAAGGTAAGCGCACCCAACCTTGTTTTTCCCAGACAAGCTTTGGCTTTGTCTCCTCCCAGCTTTTTTTCGGACCATCATCAGAAGTATTCACTCTCGAAAGCGTTACTTCTGCTTTGCCTCGATTATCATGGTATAAGAGAGATGGCGTGATGGTTCTCAAGGCATCCATTTGGTGGAAGTTTTCTCTGTATTTGGCTTGTGATATGACGGGAATGTACTTTTTGTAATCATAATCCCACATCAGGAAGATGAGATCTGGCCCAATGTTCACGTCTGGGTAACAGAATGGAACAACTTGACCCCCGAAAGTGGACTTCGTTGCATCGTTGATCCACCGAATAGTGTCAGCAGCGTTTTTGCATTGAAAAGCGAGCATTCCGTGGGCTGATCGTTCAGGTACAAGAAGCGGCTTCAACACCTCCCATCCTGAAAAACCCTCAAGCTGTTCTTGGAGTATCTTAGGTAACTGCGCTTGAATCCCTGGCAGGATTACCTTCTCGAAGCCGTCGCCCTGACCACCTTTCTCTTGCGCAGTCATGTTGCCGATGACCATATGGCGCAAGGAGAAATAGTTGATGCCAGCTTGAATAACAATCGGTTCGTCGACGACCGCACCGTCCTCGGAATGACTCAAAGCAGCTGCGCCGACCTCGATAAGCCTCTTATAGTGCTCATCAATAAACACCGCTTTTCCTCCAACAGCATACTTGAAGATGGCAGACTCCACTGTCTTTGCTAGAGCATATCCTCCAGGCTCCTCGGCAACCTTCTTGATACCGGAATAGGCCGACCCTTCCTTCGGCTCGATTGACTTCCTCTTGACGCTCTTCGCGCCCGCTTCGCTGCCGAGGTCTCCAAGCTCGGCCGTCGTGTAGGTATCAATATAACGATCCAGAGCTTGAATCAGAAGAGCTCCTTCAGGCGAGAATGATCCTCGAGTCCCATTGTGGTCTTCGTTTCTCTTACGAACCAAATATAGCTCCAAGAAACTTGCGGCCCATCGTGCTCCTTGAGATCACCGGACCCGGGATCATTAGTTGTACTCGCCACAAAGTAGAAGCCAAAGTTGTGGCTTAGGTATTCGTAGATAGAGCGTGTTTTCCCTGCTCCCGAAGTACCGTACAATCCACTGCAGATGTCCTCTGTTGACTCGATGAACTTGTAGGCTTCCGTGTCTTTGTGCTTTTCTTCTTGGGGCTCCCCTTCTTGGGGCTCTTCTTTTTGGGAGAGATCATACAACAAAAACGCGGGCACGGCATCCGGATCCCTTTTGGGATACTGAGGGATGTTTGTTTTCAGGAGACCTGCCAATAGACCCTTTTGCTTGGATGTGTCAAAGTCATCCAACCTAAACCCTTTAAAAAGTTTCTTTTGGAAGTGGTCGTTGACGAAGTTAGAGCAGCAATCCGCGACAGAAAGGTTAACGGTCCCTGTTGACGCCATCGTGAAGGAGAATATTGCGATGTTTGTGTTGGAGTGGAAGGTCTCCGTGTTGGAGACACGTTTCGCCTCCATCGGCTTTCAAGTTACGGAAGCGTGCCGAGATTGTACACATTTTATATCCCACATTTTGTCTACTAGCCCCTCAGATGCCAGCAAACGGTACATGTACTGTACATCCTGCCTCTGCACATGTTGTAACACTTGTGTAATAGTAGATACGGTACGGAAGGTAGCATGTAGCATACAGGCAGAAGCGCAGAAGCTGGGCCCAGCTACAATGGTATCGATCGAGTTCTGGTTACCATGGCCTCTTCCCGAAGTTGCCCTCAACGGACTGAGGGTCTTTCACACTTTTATCGCTGTATGTGTGTGTGTGTGTGTGTGTGTGTGTGTGTTTGTGTGTTTGTTGCAGCTGTTTTCGTCGCATAAGGGACACTTGCTTCGTTAAGGATAGGGATTAATCTTGTGTGTTCTGTTGGACACAGTAGTTTCTACCCATGGGTACCAGTACTGGCTGGCTATGCAGACTCACTAGTGTGTCCATATAAACACAGTGGAGGTTTTTCCAAAGACATAAGGGACATTTTCCTTGTTAAGGATAGGGATTGATATTGTGTGTTCTGTTGGACACAGTCGCATAGGGACACTTTCCTCATTAAGGATGGGGAACCCAGTACGGAAAGATAACTGTGTTTATGTAAACACAGTACCCTTACGTGTGTAAAAGTGTGTGCTGATGAACACAGTTGTAGGTAGGTGGTGTGTTCAATTAAACACACTGCCATTCCTTTCTCATTAAGGATTGGGAAAGGGATTTATATTGTGTGTTCTGTTGGACACAGTACTCTGGACCCATGGGTACCGATACCACTGTGCCCGTACTGGCTGGCTATGGAGACTTGCTATCAATAGTGTGTCCAGTTGAACACGGTAAATGATTTGACCAATCAAATCTCTTTTTGACAGTTGAGGGCATCAGCCTCCGGCTGCTTGTTCTAATTTTCGGCATTAACTTAGGAATTACACGGCCTCTTCCCGAAGTCAACTCGAACCAGAACCACCCGAACTCTGAAATCTTTCTAAATATTGGTAAAGAAATGCTGGCCAACCTTGGTGTGGCAGTCATAGTTGTCTGCCTCTCCAGTGCAAAAGATACCCTGCAACATGTTTTTGGAGTCCTCCAACAGGGCCAAACGCCCACAAGTCACAAACACTGCAGTCTCCAATGACACTCCAGGTAGATTCCCGTTTGTCCAATCCGATTCCAAGACATGTTGGACGTAGACTTTTTGTGGCAGAGTAGCGTTTTCTAGCAACCGGAATCTTCCCCGACTGCCTCTTACCACGGCTTGTTGGATTTCCAGAGGTGTGTTGTCGACATGGGCTTGGACGCCAGTTGTTGGTTTGCTTTCCACCAGAGTCATTTCAAACTGGCTGTGTTGTGTAGCAAGTTTGTGCAAGATGCGTTGATGGGGTAGCTCTGCCAGAGTGCGAACACCATGGTACAAGTGTACGCTCCTTATTAATGATTCGCCAGCAGGCAAGATGTGCTCCAAGACTGACAAACTGCCGCTCAATCCCGCACCGGTGGAAATGAGAATCACATGTTCAATATTATTTTGTTGCTGTTGTAGCACCGACATGAGAAACTGCCATTGCGAATTAAAGAAACCAGCAATGCTGGGATTGATGTAGAGATTGTCGGGAGGATTGTTGAGAGTACGCATGGCCCGGATTCGTTCGGCCACGGCCCTGGGAACCGGATCCAACGTGGTATCGGGCGGTGCCGTCAAAATTTCAATGGTTCCCTTGTCAGCGCTGGCCGCTGCTACGGCGTATGGTTGTTCCTGGACTCGCCCATTGTCATCCCGTTGGACAATACGAATGACTCCACCTGGTTGGTGTTGGGCCATGATGGCGGGCCAATCGTCTTTGGATACCGTAATCGTTGTTGCAGTCAGAGCAGAAGAGTCTGCGGTACTAGTAGTTCCACCATAAATACCAGTGTGTTGGACGGATTGGATGGGGATCCAATCATTATCACAGTCAGATCCAAACCAATTACAGGGACATTCGAGTTTGACATGACTAGCCTCTCTTGACGAAATAGCGGGAAAACAGGTTCCCTTGTCACACATCAAGCCCAGTCCTGTTGGTGCGGGGTATCGATTGGGTCGAATTTCAGGTAAAAGGCAGGACGTGTCACAAACTTCGGCCGTTTTGAGGGTGACAAATCCATCAAATCGCTTAAACATGGGACAGGAAAAGACGGGGCCTGATGTTTGGGTAGTAGTATCAAAGCCATTCCTTGGGTCCGATAGAATGAGATGATCCCATAACTTGCAGGTGGTTGTGCAATAAAAGTCCCCCTCGCAAGGCATGATGCCTGCATCCATTCGACAGGGAGTGGAAGGATCATCTTTGATGGCATCCTCTCGACACCACATTCCACACATTTTGAGATCAGGAACTTGGCCAGAGATCACAGCAATGCGAGCAGGAAGAGCATTCAATCCCTGGAGGGATTCCAATTCATCCTTTGACACGCTGCATTCTCCCTCGCTATTGCCGCATGTTTCGTCGGTGGCTGCTGATGAGGAAATGAAGACCAGCACTTGCAGCAGCAGACCCAAAACAACGAAAAAACCTCTGTGAACCATCGTAAGCTCTCTTCTAGCTACTAGCTACGGTACTGTATACCTGGAAGCTATTCCTCTCCTTGTACAATCGGGTACTACTAGTAGTAGTGAGACGGATTGTGGTGTTGAGATTCGATTCTTTGCTTCTGATGGATCCAACGATATCCAACAGCCCCGTGCACGTGGCAGGCCCCTTATTCGCGGAAATTAGACTTAACAAAGTACAATGATAATGCTTTTGATTCGCGTGAAACCAAACCAATTTTTTGCTCACATTTTCGGAGCTTCGGAATCACATTGGCATCTTCCAAGCGCAACGTATCTGACTGGTGGAACCGGGACATCAACCAATCTCGGTCTTTCCATCATACAGTACGGTACCACCAGTCCTCAATCCTTCTTCTCTCGCAGAGGAGATGCCACCGGTGCTATCAAATCCAGCAAACGGTTGTCCTTCTTCTTGACAAGGTTTCCATCGATTAACGAATCATTGAAACAACCATGGTCTTTGGACGACGGTCCCCTTCGGACGAAGCCAGGAACCGACATGCCCAACGAAAGGATCCCAAAGGGACCATTGCAGGAAAACAAGATCCTGTCAGCAGCCAACCCATGATTGTCCAACCTCCTCCACCACCAAAAGAACCTCCCAACAACAATAGTAAAGCACGCCCTACTACTATTACTAAACCGCCACAACGCCCATCATGGTCGTTAAAGTCCTTGTTTCTGGGATCTCCTTTTGGTATCTTCTTGACGGCATCCGTCTGTCTCAACCTTCCTCCCATTATTGTGGGTTTTACCGACATTGCCGGGTTGGTCGACTTTTGCCTCGCCAGCATTTGGCTCGTCGTCAACAGCGTCTTTTGTTTGGTCCACATTGTGGCCGCCGTGTACGTGTCCCGATCCGTCTTGTTGTGGTCGTCGACGACCCAGCAACACCACAGCAAACAGCAACAATCCAACAACAAACGACGCATGCTTTCCAAAGTCCACCGCGTCTTTTGCCACGATCCCACCGTGACCTTTTACATTTGGTTTGTCGCCTTTTACGCCGTCTTTTGCGTCATTCCCATTGTGGTGACGGTACAACCAAACGCCAAAGATTTTGTCGACAACTTTGATTACCATAACTACTACGACGGAGACGATGATGCTGCCAACAACAATAACGACGACAATAGCAACGACTACTGTGGCCCCTTTAGTCATGAAAAGGTGTTTCTGGCCATGGCCTTTTGCTTGACGTGGATTGTCCTGGGAACAGCCGCACTCTTGTTGGGCGTTTGTGTGGCTTATGAAGAAGATACGTATGCTGTTAATACGGGTGGTGGTGTTGATGATGAAGAAACGGGACAATATCGACCACCAGCTGGGAGTTATGGAATCTTTTCCGATGCACCCGAGGATCCGCCACCGCGAAGCAATCAGACGGATGCTCCTGGGACCTCGTTCTTCCAAGGTGTGCTGAACAATGTCCTTCCCAAGAAATCTCCTCCGCGTTCTGCATCTCCACCCGGAGACACCTATGAACAGAGGCAGCACCAGGAACAGAGGCAGCAGCACCAACAACAGGAACAACAGCGACGAGACCCCAAACATCCCTTCCACTTTAGAACGTCGCACTCGGTTCACGATCCCTTTCAGCAATCCCTGCAACATCAGCAACAGATTGCCCTCAATCGAAGCAGCAGTGAATCGGCCATTCAAGTGGCTCACGCGGCAGCTCAGGCAGCCGTCCAAGCGGCTCATGCGGCCGAGGCTGCGGCCAAGGCGTCTCATGCCGCCGTTTCGTCACGGCAGCTACCGATCGAACCAGAACAGCAGCAACCGAAACCTCAGGCTGCTCGTGGCAAGGAAAACAGCAACAGGAACAGGAACAACAATAAGTTGGATCAAAACACCAATAACCAACTCAAGGGTGCCAATGCCATGTTGCCCAAAGAGAAAGAGGCCAACAATAATACAATGAATTACAGCAGGGAAGAAGTGGTCACGGCCCTGTATTCACTCATGCCTGGCTTATGATGATACTGTACAGATGCAAAACCAGAGTAAGGCAAAGGCAAGATTGGTTACGTACACGTTACGATGCAGGAGTGTGATTGTCTGCATGTTAGGCTCAGGAATACAGTAAGAATGGATATTGGGTTACCTTAATGCTATACACATGGTGAATTTGTGGAGAATCGTTGCTCGAACCTCAGTGTGCAAACCTTTAGATACTAGTAGCTAGACTAATAGGTGTCATGCCCTCTCAGGAGGCTAATGTGGCCGGTGAGCAGACTTGACTGTGCGAAACACCCGGGCCTCCGCTCGGTGGGTTGTCCTGAAGCACTTCTTGTCTGAATCCGTTAATAGACGTTCATTTTTTGGAAGCGAATAGCTAGCCTAGATAGGTACCAGTACAGTATAATAGAAGATCCAGGCGGTACAGTATATATAGAAGATCGAGACATCAATGTGGCTTTCATCGAGTGCGCTATTGTCCTTCGCCCTACGTGTTCGAAAGCACCACAGAAAGAGAAATCACAAGCGTTCTTGCAACCACTGCCAAGAGCGTCTCAAGAGAGGCTTTCATTGCACAAATATGTAGCCATACGGTATCGTCGACTTGGTCCCTGCCTATAATAGCCATGCAGCCAACCTCACCGCACCATACCAAACAAAACAGACAGTCTAATAGCTAAGCTTTGTCGTCTCGCTCAGCTTTCTTTCTCCGCTTTTCCTCCTTTCGTTTAATTTTTCTCTCTGCTTCCTCATCATCCGCTTCCTTCTTTTTCTTCTTTTCCTTTCGTGTCTGGTGTGTTTGATCGGCAATTTCCGCCGAAGAAAAATCCTTTCCAAAAATACAGGCCATGTCGGCCTCGCTTTTCTGTGCAAACTTGGATTGTCGAACGCGTCCATTGGTGATGCGGTTGGACGCAAAGACGGTTTCCTTCTTCTTTTTACTCTTCTTTTTGCTCTTCTTTTTGGGTTTTTCCTCAACGGTCGTGCCATTGTCATCACTCAGGGTGGATGAGGAAATCGACGACGACTTCTTCTTTCTCTTTTTGCTGGACGACCGTTGACTGCCAGTCGCAGAATGTTCCTTCTTCAGATTCTTCAGCAATGCGCAGAAGGTGTCATGACTTGTCGACTGCGTCGCTGCTGGCAACGCACTGGCACCCAATCCCAAACCTTCCTTGCGCTTGACAACCTTCAACCCTTCCCCCGAAACCTCCTCAACGCCATCTTGCTCCTGCGCTCGTCGGTGTTTGGAACCCAAAGCCTGTCCTTCTTTCCAACCCAACTTTTGAAGCAGCGCCGAACCTTTGTTGTTCTGTCTCCAATGGAGATTACGAGTATCCGCACCTTGCTCCGCTCCAGCCGACGTCATGGTGTTGCTTGCTGTGAAATACAGTTAGTTGAAAAAGAGGGAACCCCCTTGCGAAACGAGGGAAAAAGAGAAAAAAGTAAGCGAGACGATGAGCGCAGCGGGTGGCTCAGCGGAGTCCAGTCATTACTGCGGTAGCCAGTACTCCGTACGATAACAAGAAGTGACGAGTCCCGAAGAAAGCACGTGAGTCTGTACCCCAACAACCTTTCCACGGCGAAGCACCACGCTGTGCCACCCCACCGTACTGTACCATACTAGAACTGGATCGAGAACATCCTCCCTGTCTTGGGTACTGCCGTATGGGACAGAACAAACAAATCAAATAGAGATAGCAGACTGGCAGAGCACATCTGTAGCTATGCATAGCTATGAGTTTCGCGGAGGCCAAGACTTTAATTCTCGCTAGCCAGTGGCAGTCGGGAATCTTCAAGCAATCCTTGTCCTTGCCCCCTCCCCTGACTACCGGTACACCAAGCTCGAGAATGAAAAGGTATAGTTTCTATTTCGGCCACCCTCATTTCTTCATTTCTTCTTTCGCTGAGTTAGATTAGATTTAGCATACATAGCTTTCTCTACGTGTACCTCTCTTGACCTGTCTATCTATCTATTGATCCAAGTTTGCTATACCCTATGATACGAACCAATCGCTAGGCTATGCCATCATTCAACACTTGCAGGCATGGGGACAACGGAAGCAACCAAGATTGGGCCCACTCCAGGCTGAGGTGTGGGATGCCCTCTCCGAACAAACAGAAATAGGCTGGGTTAACTTCATGATGGGCAGAAGCAGCGTCTGCTTCACCCAGCTCCAAGATGCTCAATATCGATCCCTGGGGAGCCGCCGGAATGGTCTACGATGGACAACTGCAGCTGTCTGCAAACTCCTAGATACATCATGGGGTATGTGGGAACACCGAAATCACATCAAACACAATGACCCACATCCCAATTTCGACCCAGACTCGCTGAGGTTAGGCTTAAAAAAAATGTAACCTGGAATTGATGATGTTGCCTCCCCAGGAGAAGGAAGTTCACCACAGCAAAAGCACGTGAAAAAGGGAGGGAACCAAAATGTGGAGGGACTTAGGTCAAAGATTTAGAGTGGAACTTGAAGAACACTTAACCAATAATACAGTATCTCAAAAGTGAAGCAAAGTGCTTTTCATTGGAAAATGTGTTGAGAGTGGTAGATGTGCTTTGCTCCCTATGTACCAGGTACGACTGTTCTAAAACGTAGATACGGTAGTCCCGAATTGGTGCCGTAGTGAGGGACAGTTTTCGATTGAACTCCAGTAGGGTTCAGAATCAAGACTACAAAAAGTGCGATTTAATGCGTGCTTTCCCTTCAAGCCTGAGGCCTTTACCTTTCAGCTACTGTACCTTTTTCACAAACGGAAGCGAAACCATGCCAGCACAGAAGGAGTATGGCCATCGATCGAGTAACCCCGCAACAACAAACAGCAAGCTCCGCAGCCCGCAACAGCACAACAACGGAGAAGCCAGAGTTGACAACGTTTGTGTATCGCCATTCAGGTGTTTAGCTATCCGGACTATCTAGGAGTAATAGTATGAACTCTTTGCTACGAAGTGGCCAGTGGACATTGGAGGAGGTCTCCTTTGCTACTCGTCTAATTGATGAGTTCCGCAATGGGTCTCTCCAGATCCCGGACGGTACCAGCATGAGAGGGTTCTTGGCGGAAAAGCTCGGCTGTGTGCCCAAGCGAGTGTCGAAGAAATACGAGAATACCAACTACAACGGCCGCCTCCAATACACCCGCGACGAGTCCTTGTCGGCAGAGCGGTGTGTTCGAGTACGGTTGGAATTGGAAAAGCTGGAACGAGCCTTTCGGCAATCGGTCAAGAAGGAAGCGCAAGACCGAAAACCCAAGGCAAAGCCGGAACCGCCTCGGCAACAACAGGTGCCCCAAAAGTCAGAGAAAAAATGCCCTCCTGCGTCGGCGAATCATGCAGAATCTACTGTTGCCAATAGCGCCAGCGTAGCGCAACTCCCCGCTGCGACTCATATGTTGCCGCAAAGTGCCACACGAGGAAGCAATATGACTGTCGGTGATGCCGCATCCACACTTTTGAGCGGAAGTTCCATATCAGCAACTGGAGCAGGAAACGAAGAGCTACTGAACCTTTTGGCGGCTCGTCAAAGGCTAGTCCAGAGGCAGAGCCTGCTTTTGCAGACCCAACAGCAACCTCGGACGACGTCTCTGACGAGTGCCTTGGCGTCTCGGGCATCGGAGCGCTTCAATCGTGATCTCCTGTCGTCGCTGACGTCGCGTCCGCAGCACGCTTCGTTGTTGCCATTGCCTCAAACTGCCTCGTTGGAACGTCTCCGGCTGTTGCAGCAGCTGGAACTCGAGCAACAGAAACAGAGACTTCTATCCACGACGACCGCAGCGCTGCAACATCGCTCTTGTTTTGAAGAACAAGCGAGATTAATGGCGGCCTCCAAAACTGGCAAGGCTGCTTCCGCATTCCTCCCTGCCGGTTTGAGCCCAGGAGATTTGCTCCAGGCGTTGAGAGAACAGAGAGATTCGGCAACCAATAATAATGATTGGAGGACCAAGGGAAGTGTCACTGCGTGTGTCGGTGCCAGGGGGCAAGCCGCTGGCAGTGCAGCGAGTAAACGAAAAAAAGCACCCAGTGTTCTACTTCCTGACCCCAAGCGGCCCAGGTTCTATTAGCTTGATTTTTGAACTCGGGTCTGCTGATAAACTTTTGGATTGGAAAGAACGCAGATGCTATCTGCTTTAATTTTGTAAAAAACAAAATCAATCTATCGTGATTCTTTTACGTAGTAGACTGCGTTCGATATATTATGCTAGGCTGTACCTTACCGTACTTCTGACAGTTGTTGGGTGATACCGGTAGAGCCCCATTGCAGCACAACGATCGAGCTTCTCTAGCTAGCTCCAGGTACCGTACATCGTACACCGAGACAAAATTGAACCAGCACATTGACGAAACTAGAAATGGGCTGCTTTGCCACAGCCGATGGCATGATTGAATCATTCAATCTTTCGATTCCATCATACAGGTCAATCAATCATCGCGGATGTCTTCCTCGAGGGAATACTGGTAAGCAAGCCAAATGGGCTCCACGCAATCCAGTTTTTGTTTTTAGCTAAAAATTGGTGTCTTTGTGAGAGGACGAGCCTTCAAATCCACCGTGGCGTTGTAAGGGACAAATACCGGTACCATGGCAAACGAAAGTAATTTCAAACTACCTGGTAACAATGTGAAACTTGCTGAATAACCCTTGTACTGCATGTGGCTATAGATTTCTTTTGTTTCGTTACCGGTATGTACTACAGAAATGGAACCAACGGTGACTTGACCTGTTTGGTCCAAGCATCGTATTTGGCCTGTCCCGTATATTTCTCTTGTTGTTGTTCTTCCAGTCGGGCGGTGGCCTTGCTCATGATGGAAACAATGCCATACAATCCCAACAATGATGCAATCCATGCCACCACATTTGTTCCAAATGAAGGGACTCCCGTGACAAACATGCCCGCCCAAAACAAGACTTCTCCCAAGTAGTTGGGATGACGGCAAATACGGTACGTCCATTCGGTCGGTCCTTGGAATGATTCGTCCGACGATGAAGAAGATTGCTTTACCAGGTACTTTTGCAAATCGGCCGTGGCTTCCAACAGCGCCCCACAGAGGGCCACTCCAATGCCTCCTTGCGTCACGAGCAGACTCGTCGATGTCGTCAGTGCTTGCACATTGCGAAGAGCATACATGGCAGGAGTCGATAGTAGAGCGTAGAAGAGTGATACACTGGACGCCAGTGTCAATTTGGCGACAATGGATCCCTCTTTTCGGGCGGCAGTGGGTGTCTTGCGAGTTTGTTCTCGAACAAAGAGATAGAGTGCCAAGCGCAGACCATAAAACATGAGGCCTCCCGTGATGAGTCCACCGAGACTCTTTGCCGGCAACCCAAAGGCATGCTGGAGACTGATTCCTGCCAAGAAAATGGCCATGCCGTAGCCCACCGAAATGCTGTACAATTGTCGAATCAATGTCAACGGAATGACGGCCACAGCGGCAATGCCCGTCAAAGCCACGATTCCCCAGGGACCACTCTGGAGGGCTGGAATGATGAGGGTTTCCACAGATGCCATGTTCAACGCTGCGCCACCACGGGGAATAGTCAGTGCCACACTATTATAACTGGTAGTAGGAGGTGTAGTTTCCTGAGGGGATGATATTATGCGAGGATTCTTATTGTGGGCCAGTTGCTTGGGAGCGACAAAGCCATGAGTTGCAACAACGGTCACCGCCACCACCAAGACAAATCGGATCAATGCGTTTCGTGAACACATCATTGCCACTTGTTGTGTTTGCGGAAGAGATTGGAGAAATAATTCGAGGATCAACACTTAATTGTCGACTTCGTCGGGTTGGTTTGGTTGACAAGTGGTGTCAAAAAGTGACGTTGGATCGGTTGGATCTTTTTTCGAAGATTGAGTAGAAATCAGACTGCGGAATAGACAGCTATGCTGTTTTATGCGAAGGATCACAACATGAGACGCTCCAAGACGGACGGAGGGAGGAAATCTAGCTAGCTATTAATTAATTAATAGCACAAGTCCTCCGCAAAACATCCGAAGATGAGCAGAGGTGGCGGTGATGAACAGGACGAAGACAGGAAATTGACTCCCGAGGAGAAGAAAATTGAAAGACGGAATGGAGGTAGTACAGATCGAGAAGGTCACATCCTCGAAATTCCGATTGAATGGTCAACACTCTTCCTCCTCTCGCTCAGCACTTGAAGTCGCCGAAAGCAACTCAAGAGTGTCCTTCGGCTTCGTCAGTCGGTGTGCTGGAGCTGCTTCCCTGGATGCGGTTGGAGTCAGCACCCGCTAGCTAGAGGCTCGAGGAGAGCTTTGACGAGCTCTCTTTTCGGGTCCGCAGTCCGCCGGATCCGCCGAACTCTTGCACGACGTGGGATTCTCCTTCACCTTGAAGATAATTCCTCTCGAGAACACCGAAAAGAAAGGATTTAACATACCAGGTACTAGTACGAAGTTCTTGTGAGAATGGCTTTCGGAACTGTCGCACCTCCCCATCGAGAGCTCGGAATATGTTGGTAGGTTCTGCTTGGCTGTGGGAAATCATCCAGGTTCCAGCGACAACGATGATGTTGCCAAGGTTACCAAGGCAACTGACAATGCAAAACAGGCGCAAGAAAAGTTCCTGGTCATTCGCATCGTTACCTTAGGAAGGTCTTCTCGTGTTTGAGAGCTTGATTTCTGGGATTCATGGTTGCTTGAGAAACTCGAAGCCCTGATGCTGAAGGAACGAGGTTCGATAACAACGATCCACTCTCTCCCCAAGTAAAGAAGTTCCCCAACGTTGGACTTAGCAAACGGCAACGATACTCCTCGGTTGCTCCTGCGACTAGAGACGATGAACGACAACGGCGCTGACGTCGGAGATGGCCCGAAAGGAGACGAGGCCTTCCTGAAATCCGGCGAAAAGCAACCGGAAGTGCTATTGAAGGCAACAACAGAAAGGCAAAGGCATGGTGATAGAGATCGAACGCTCAAAGCAAGGGAGAAGGCGTTTGAAGATAAGGTTGAAACTGCAGCCAAAGACAACACGAAAACCTGGTCCAGTCCTGTTACCGAGCCGCTGGATCTGACGGATGTTGCTATCTCGGTTGGACAGCACGAACAGGATGATAAGCAAGACGGGCAAGTTGGCATTGCGAGAACAAAATTCCGAGAACAGAGCAATGGCATGCCGGCAATCAGCGAGAATGGTGCCAACAATGGAATGTTCGGTTTGACACAGATCGTTGACGATCTAAGGCAGCAATACCTAGGCGACTTGGAATCGATTCCAAACAACGGACAACATCAAGCTTCACTAGCATCTTCACCCGGCGCATTTCACGTCGGTTCACCCTTTGCAATAACAGGCAATGATGACGATGGGACTGTTGTCTACACCACCCCAGGGAGCCAAGAGGATTCGATGCCGCGACACACTACTCTGGAAGCTGTAAATTCCAATGCCCCCTTGACGGCAACTATCTATGATGGAGGTCAGAATGGTCATCATCATTGCCGTGACAGTCATGTAAGGCTTTCGGAGCAGAGTACTGATCTGGAGCAGCCAGTTGTCCATGATGAGCACCAGCTTGTGGATGCGGAGCCAGTCAAGGAGGATAAAGAACGACCTGGATTCATCACCTTCTGTGGCTGGACAGGGACCACTGCCCAGGCAACTGGAGGACTCTTTGTCTTGCTGCTAGTTGCAGTTCTCATGGCTTTGGGATTGGGAGGAGTTTTCTCTTCTGGGGGTGCTGTGGAAGAGAGTGGACTTCACTACACCACCACCAACGAAAACAACCTCGATGATGGATTAGTCAACAACTCTTCATTATCTGCCCAGCCAACATCACTCCCAGAATCACAAGAAGCATTTCCTTCGCTGCTAGAAGAAGTCTATGAAAGAGGATACCTCAAGTGCTTTTACATTCCACTGCCTCCGTTCCTCTACCGTGACAACCATACAGGGGAAGTGTTGGGCTTCAATTCTGCTTGGTGCAAGGCTATTGCTGCAGCCATCTTTGGAGATGCCAACTCAACAACCGTTCAATATGTGCCATTTGTTCCCTATGTGACAAATGTCAACATCCAGAACAACACAGCTGATGTCAATACTTGGGGTATGCCTCCATTCATGAATCGCCATGTTTTTGGGGTAAGAAAAGAACACCATTCGTTGCAGGTACATGGCTATGATCGCTGACATTCTGTTGTTGCTTTCAGCCTGTAGATCTTGCAGGTCGCTTCTTCTCCACACCATTCTATTACCAAAGCGTTCTTGTTGGTGGCGATCCTTTCCATGTGCAACACTGTGTCCAAGACAACAACTTCAAACACATTGACGAATGCAGTGAACTGAGGGCATGCTTTTCAGGTGGATTGCAACAGGAAAGGTTTGCCAAATCAGTGCTAGCAGAACGGCGTCTAGTCAGAAGCAACAGTTTTGACAGTACAGTACAGCTGTTCGCCAATGGTACATGCAATGTTCACATCATCTTGGCCCTCAAGAATGCATTGCCCTTGAAGTTGCTCCGAGACAATGGATACCAAGGAGAATATATCGTTGGAGATAAAATCCATGGCCAAAACTCCATGTCCATTGTCACAAGGCATGGCGATGCAAGATGGGCGGATTTTTGCAATGCAGTCTTTCACTCCCTTTTGACTGCAGTCCAGCATGGAATTGACCAGATGAATGCATATGAGATGCCTCAAACATATGTTTTTGGAGAGAACTACAAGAACATGTTCAAGAATGCTGTCAAGGCTGTTGGCAACTATGGAACAATCTATGAGCAGTACTTTAGTCCAAATTGGGAAAAGACTGGAGGTTTAAATAGGGTCCACAATGGGAGGAGCCATGATGGTGACAATGACACAACTGGGCTTCTCATCTCACTTCCTCTGGGCGAACTCCCCAATTCCCCTATTGACCGCCCCCTTGGGCCCATCCTGGAAGGCATCTTGACCCGAGGCTACTTGCAATGTGGTGTCCAATTGGACAGACCAGGCTTTGCTGTGACTAATGATTCCGTTGCAGGAGGAGCATCCGGAATGGATGTAGACTTTTGCCAGGCCCTGGCTGCTAGTCTCTTTCAAGGTGATGCCACTGCATTGGAGCTTGTGTCAGTGCACAGCCAAAGGGATGGGTTCCACAAGCTTGCAACTTCCCACGAGATTGATATCTTGGCTGGGGCTACATGGAACTTGACCAATGAGGTTCGGGAACCCGCTACTGGAGTTGGGTTTGCCTTTAGCCAGCCTTACTTTTATGGCTTCAGCAAAGATGAAGACAATTTCTGCCTGGCTACCCTGGAAGATGACCATGATTGGTACACATTTGTGTTTTGGACAGTGGCTGCAACCATCTTTGCTGAGGAGCGAGGCATCAACCAGATGCAGCATTATGACATGCCCCTAATCTACACCTACAATGGACATCTTGGACGGATGTTCAGAGATGCAATACTTGCTGTGGGAAACTATGGAGAGATTTATGGTAGAAACTTGCAAAGCTTGATTCCAAGGTCTGGACGGAACAGACTGAATCAGTACCCGCACCAGGGACCTAGGCACTACCCCATGCCTGGGATAATGGATTGATAATGACGATTTGATCAATGCTCTCACCAGGGACCACGTCGCTAATAAGCCTATGATAGCTATAGATCATGGATGGATGAGTCGAAAGGCCAGCCGAAGGGATACTGGTGGTACCGGTACTGGTACAGTACGACTGTACGAGAATTTTGCCGCGAGGAATATTCTGCAGTCCCGCGTGACTTCCAAGAAAACGGAGAACCGGAGCCATCAGTTCGGGGTTCTGGGAAGCCGAAGACTTGAAATCTTACTCATCACCATCAATCTGTTCCACAGCTGGCATTCCTTCCTCGGCTTCAAGTCAACCCAATGATCAAACGGCGGACTTGCCCATTCGATTGCAGTTTGGCAGCTGGTGGTTCTGATCCGATAGAGCACCCCAGAGTAAAAGGAATCGGCGTCACCAATGATTGGCAGAGCTCGTTCAGCCGGTGCCGCATTGGGTTGCGAATTCCACGTGTAGCCGTCATGTCAACGGAATGGCAACGGATGGCCACAAGAAAAAGCATCTGCTTGAGTGTGGATAGTACAACTAGCTAGCTAGCCGACGATGATTGAGTGAAGAAGTTACCACGGAATCCTTTCCAAAGGCTGGGCGTCGTCAAGGAATCTCACTGCGCGAAGGCGTTGCAAGACAGCGGAGATGGTACCAGGTACTGGCTTAGTGTCGCTCCTCCACAATGGGCTCCGCAACCGCTTTGGATCCGTTGTCGTTGGTCGAACTTTGGTCGGATCCTTCTCACTTTGGTCGGATCCTTATCACATTATGGACAGGAATGTTTGGAGGAAGGTTAAAAGGAGCGCTCCTCCTGTGAGAAGCCGTCGTCGCTAGCTTATTCATTTGTGATCGACTTGGACCATGCCGCTGTTCCGTGGCTTCTGCACATCAACACCTGGTTTGATGCGTGGTTTGTTTGCGTTGCTTCTGTCGAAGTGGAATCTTTCTACAACAATGCCAGTCCACTTGCTCTAGACACAGAACCTGACCAAGCCGAGGCCGAACTGACCGAGTGGAGGTGGAATCTGTGTACAACAACATGATCGGTACCACAGGCGGCAGCCAAACTGACATCAACACCTGGTTGATGCACTTGATGCGTGGTTTGTTTGTGTTGCTTCTGTCGAAGTGGGGTCTTTCTACAACGATGCTGTGCCAGTCCACTTGCTTGCTAGCTAGACACAGAACCTGACGGCGCCAATGCCAAACAGACCGAGGGGAGGTGGACGGTGGTGGATCTTGTGTACAAAGATCATCGGTGTCACCTGCAACACACAAACTCGCTCCGATTCAAATCGCCAGTTGTGTTGAGGGCAGTGCGGCTGCCTGCTGATTCTTCATGTGCACTCAGAATGGTGCTCACGGAAGGGTGAAGCCGCGAGAGTGAGCAAGGTTGCCTCCCTGAGGACCCTGTATAGTCGGTTGCACTGCGACAAATCGTGATGCATGGTGTGGATGTCGGTGATCCTTTCGCCCAAAGCCACTGTCGCGGCTTCCTCCCATGAGATCACATCGCTACTCCTGCTGCTTCCTACAAGGCCGAAACACAGCTGAGGTCGCTACATCGAGGTGTCATGTCAAGGGGGGGCAGGAGGCTGGATTACGAGAAGGGATCAAGGAGCACAGTATCTGAAGTGTGGTGGTGAGCGATTGGTTATTTTTGGTTGTGCTACGTTAGCTAAGAACGAATGGCATGGCAGTGGATGGATGTTGTTCATTTTCGAAAAAGCCATTCATTCCGTTCGTCCATATTGTGCAGTTGGAAAAGACTCCGATCATGACATTCCGAGCTTCATCGATAGTCAGTGGCTCGCATAGAATGATGAAAGGGAGAATCTGGGAAAAGTGCATGTTCTTCTTGTTCCTCGTGGTGGCCATGGGTGGAAGATAATTGACCTTCCACTGGGATGGAATGGGTGCATGAATGGGGGTTTGAGCTGGTGAATTGGTGATATTTTCTCCCTGGCCTGGAACGGTCATCAAAACCATCAAAACTGGTCAGGGACAAAACACCGAGATCGACTCGGTAGAAAGTGAATGGGTGCATTTCGAAGAATATCGATTGACCCCTTGGTGTTGGGCTCGTTGTGAGCCGTTAGTTATCGCTGAGCAACGGCAACTGCGTCAACCATTCCAAGAGAACCCATGAGCCACCCTGGCTTTCTTTGGAGGGTTTTCAGTACAGGCAGCAACTGGAATTTGTGCGTAGGCGACTGCCGCCGCGAGCGAGGGCAACAATAAACTCGGTGTTGGTGCTGGAGCCGCTACCAACAATCCCGGAGACGGAGCTGTTGTTGCCATGAGAACTGGAGTGGGCGCTGGAGCCGAAACTGGTACTAAAAAACTTGGAGTGGGTGCTGGGGTATGCACAGGCGCCAGAAACGAATGCGTCGCAGCTATGGCCGGGACTTGAGCCGCTGGAGCAATGACGGTCGGAGCCGGCTGCTTTCTGGCCTCTTCTTGACGAGGCGTCATCAGAGGGGTCACTGGTGCCGTCAGAACTTGCTGGTGATCTTGCTTCTGAGCCCCAACTTTTTCAAGAACATCCCTCATCTTTTCGCAGTCCCGCTCGAGTTGTTCAATTGTTTTCTCGATGGTGGCAATGAAATTCTTCTTGCGATCCCTCGTCATCTTTGCGTGCATACGGTTGCGCTCGCGGCTGAACAGAAAACAAACATAAAAGCATGTGAGCACACAAACAACACAACATGAATTCACAAGAGAAGACAACAATCCCCCAGAACTTACCGAAGCCCTTCCAGCTGTTCTGTGGTAAGCTGGCGCTGGGATCCGTTCTCATCGCTATAGACTCCACTTTTCCAGTTGATGCTGGACCTTGGGCCAATGATAGTTGTCTGCCCATCAATCTTGAGGGTCAATGTCTGCGGTGCTTTGTTCTCTTCAGACGTGTCCACAGAGGCGAAGCGCTTGCGCTTCCCAGCAGTCAACAAGGAAATCTTGGCGTCGCTGACCCGTTGGCTCTCCTTGCTCTGCATAGTCGCATCCAGCAAGGAGGACGCGTCATCCTGCTGCTGCTGTTCTTCTGCCGATGGCTCTGCGAGGTTGATGAGGATAGACGCAATGCTACATTCTTCAATCTTCAATTTGAGACCCTTCTTCTCCGCCTCCAATTCGCGAACCTTCGATTGCAATGCTTCCAGCTGAGCCTTCTTTCTCAAGCGAGTGCGCCTAGCGTGTTCTCGATTGCGCTCTCTACTGCGAGCCAATCTCTTGGCTGCGTCTTCTTCGGACTCTTCAAAGGTCCTCTCTCCGGCCGCGTCATCCCCAGACGACAAGGACATGTCATTGCGCAGATGCTGTTGTTGCTCATAATCTCCCGCGGCATCTTGACCAGTGCACTGGTTGGATGACTCGGCTTCCACAGCATGGATGGCTTGTTGTTGCGGTTGTTGTTGCAGAGGTTGGGCCCGAACTACTGCTGCTGGAGCTGGGGATGGGGCTACAGGGACCACCTCGGATCGCTTCGGTGTCGTGTCTGTGGGAATTTCTTGTTCTTGGGCAGGAACAGATACCGTCGCTGGGGCTGCTGCTGGAGAGGCAAAGGCCGCAGCTAAGTCATCGGAAAGCCCCACTCTGGCCAACTCTGCTGCCGCTGCTACGGCCGCCTGAAGCGCCGCTGATATATCCAGTGCTGGCAAGGTCGTCATGGTCAACAATACATGTACTATGATGGAGCTTTGCTTTCTTCGTTGAACTGCTTTGATTTGGTAGCGTTTTATCCCCACTCGTGGCCTAAAGGGTTCTCTGCTGTAGACTCTCACGTTCAAAACCTACCAACAGCAATGCCAAACAGGGTTCGCAGTGCCTCGAATCAAAAACCGTCTGAAGTCAGCGTACGTCAGTGCGAGTCTTCTCCTTGATGGGCTTCGAGAGACACGGAACAAAGTTGCAGATGTTGTTTGCTCGACGTGGCCAATTGGAGAAGAGGCCCGCGCGCCTTTCTTCAACTTCCACTAATGTGTCCTCGCTTGCTGAATTTGGTTGCACAAAATTGTTGAATTTACAGCTTTGTTAATACGTCCGAAGTGCGTGTTTTGGTTATTTTCATGTTTTGGCGTCTTTCTTCGGACGCTTGATTGGGACGACTGGCAAAACACACGTGATAAGAATATCCCCATTCCTAGTCAAAGCCTGTTCTAAGAAGGCAATGTCATTGGAAGAACAAGCGGCCAGATGCAATTCAAAGGACCAATGACCCCATCCAGCATGCTCGTCGATGCAACGCACGCGGTTTCGAAAGCCTGGCAACATGCGGCACTTTCTTCAGGTTTTGACTCCGACCCGGCGGTTGCTTGTTCATGGAAGGAAAGGAGTGACGGTCTGCTGGGTGGATTAGTCCGGAGGCATCCTTTTTTATTACTGGCTCTGACGACATAGTTGTGTCAGGGTTGCTTCCCCCAAGCAACAACAGTTTCATTCCAGGCGAGTGCTCGCTAGCTACCTCGGAGCTACGGTATCCGTGCTCGTATGGTCCCGTGACCGTCATTGCCTCGACATACCGTACGGTAGGCTGTAGATGCGGTCGGCTGACTCGACTCAGGTCATCATTGCTTTCCACCCAGCACAAATTAAAAAGAACAGTTCTGCTTGAGGACAGAACATGACGAGATGATTTGGCATATCAATTGCTTGCAATTGCAGGTTACAGTACCGGTAGACTGAGAGAGAGCTTCAGTACCGTACGTAGTTAGTCAGTCTGCTGGCTGGCCAGAGCTTGAGCTGGACCCTCAGGTTTGTAACTCCCTGCTAGCGGGGGAACACCTGAAGCCTGCTGTAGTAGCTAGCTAGAGGAAATTAGGACCTGTCAGCCAAGCTGATTGCTACCGTAGCGTCCACTCGAGCCTTTCCCCTCAGCATCAGATATAGGTCTAGTTCTTGGCTGGGCGCGCGCCGATTCTGATCATGGTGTGAGTTCTTGGCGTTGGGGCTGCGAATGTGTTGCAAAAATCGTGTGCAAGCTTCCAACAGCCCTTCAGTTCGTCATTCCTCTAGAGCTACCAGGTACCAGTAGCTACCGGTACCTGTACGGCTGTAGTAGCCAGATCTGAATCCATGTATCCGTAGAACCTTCCTTGAGGTCCCAGAGACCAGAGACTCTGAACCATCATATTGAGCAAGATATTGTTTCGATTGAATCATTCGTTGGAAGGCAGTCCTCACAACAATTTCTGGCTAGACAACGCAATCTTAGCCTGATAGCGGCACCAGTCGATTCGATTCAATCTGATACTTTCGCGGAAGTGCCCGGTAGGATAGTGCATGTGGTTGCTTGTTTCCATCCCAAGGTTGCGGGCCTCGTCCTCGTGTCCCCAAATTGATCAGGCAACAATCACATTTGGGATCCGACCCAACGCTGGATGGTGACGCCCTCGAG